AACATTACATTCCATCTAGTCAGCCAGAGTGCTGGCACTGGGGAGATTAATGTTCCTATATACATTGTTCTCCTCTCTGGAGAAGATAAAGCATGTGATAAGTATTGTGAGTGTCCGACACAAATCTGATGCACCTCCATATTTTACCAGCAGAGCGTGTTGATAGCTTGAGCCATGCTCCGATAAAATGATCAACCCTGCCCAAACAATTACCACTTATGAATGCTATAAATCCAATGCTATAAATCCATCTAAATACCATAGCTATAAACCATAGATTTTATTATCATTCACCCTCCAGGAAAATGGGTGCTATCTACTGGTGCTACGATGTTGCAACACAGATCTTGTTTAGATTGGAAACGTGCTACTTTCATACTGCAGCTAGGCTCCAGGACAGGGTTTCCCAAACTCAACTAAGCATCAAGCTTTGATAATTTGAATCAGCTGTGTAGTGTTAGGGCTAAAAAACAAAACGTGCACCCCTTGGGGTCCCGAGGACCAAGTTTGGGAAATGCTGCTCTAAGAGGAGAGAAAACAGAGGAGAGGAATGTAACTTACAGTATCAGCCCAGTAACCGATGCCAACTCTACAGGAAATAACTTTGTTGGAGGCCTTGGTCTGTCTCAGATGATGACTGCTAGCAATCTTTCTGTCATAGTTTCCCTAGGTCCATCTTGATTTGATGTGATTACATGCTGATAAAAACATGAAAGCTGTCATCTGGTGAGCATAATCTAGACAAGTGGAAAAGTCCCTCTGGGAAACCAGCAATAAAAAATCATTGGAATCACCTTAAAAGGCTAATTGAACATGTATTTTCTACCCCTGCTTTTAATAAAGCGCTCTCTTTCTCAGGGCATCCCCCAAGGACAACCACCATAATTCACCCTCCCATCGTGGCTAGAAAAATTGGCCAGGCAATCGCTGGCTGGATGGAAACTGTCTTATGGGGGTTCCCTCTTTTTATGGAGTGTTCTGTTTCATCATTGTTTTCCCCTCCACTTGATGTGATCCATTAGGGCAGCAGGACTCTCCCTCCCAAAGCCCTGGTCTGCAGCATGAGCAGTTTACCAGTATTATGACACACTTGCTCCCTAAAATGTTTGTCACTTTCACCGCTTCTTTCTTTAGCTCATGCCACATTCATGATAGAAATGAGTGAAAGTAGACCCAGAATGTAAAGTGTGATTCTCTGAGTTAAAAGCTATTAGAGGTTGATGACGTTTTGAAATTGAAATGGATTGCATTTAGGCCTATTTGTCTGGAATGTATACATTGTGTTAAGTGATATATTGCCACCCTCTAGTGGACAAAGCGAAAAATGTGTTTCTCTGAAAACCTACAGCTCTCATAATGCATTTATTTATTGACAACATTTCTGCATTGAAGGCATGCATTTACAGAAGCTAGCTAGTAGCCCGTTTCAATTTATAAAAGCTTTACTAACATTTACTTTCTGTGTAACTAACATTTACTTTCTGTGTAACCTGTTGATATTAGTAGCTGCAATGGACTGTAAAGGTATTACGGCGATATTGCTTGACTTGGACAACACGCTCATTGACACAGCGGATGCCTAGCCCAATATTGAACTAAAGGAGCCTAACGTTACTCCTTAGTCCAAGGACCTTACATAATCTGTTTAAATGGTCGAATTGGCTACAGTCAAATACTCCATCTAAACATAAATCGTTGCATAGAGCCCCTCAAACATTTCCTTAGGTTAGGGCATCATTTAAGGGTTTTATGGTAGTTTGAAGGCATGTACCGTGGTCCACCGTGGTCCTCTGTAGCTCAGCTGGTAGAGCACGGCGCTTGTAATGCCAGGATAGCGGGTTCGATCCCCGGGACCACCCATACGCAAAAATGTATGCACGCATGACTGTAAGTCGCTTTGGATAAAAGCGTCTGCTAAATGGCATATATTATAATGTAGGCAGAAAGTGTCTCGGTTTCCATGGAGACGACCTGATTCACTGACTGAAAGTCTCAAAGAGATTTTGGAAGATCGCAAAATAAATGTATCCGCCAATCATCTCCGCCTTGGCAAAATGTAAGCGTTCTCCTCGAACCACAAAGCAATTTGGAGCGTATACCACCCGGTTTCAAGTAAATTCGCAAATGTTTCATGTGGCTGACTACATTAAATAATGGTGTAGTAGTCTATCGTTTTGGGCATGTTGTGTTAATTGTGGCTCACATTTAACAAGTATGAGTAGCCCCACTATTTATTTTGCATGGATGCAGGACCGGATGGCTTACTTTCACCCCTGCTTACTGTACACTGTTTTAACCGGTTTTAACACAGTTGCAGCCGACAGTGGCAACACATTTGTGGCGTCTGTCTTCCATTTATTTACACACAGGTGTTCGGAGAAACAGATAGTGCTAATGAGCTGTTTTCCGTCCGTTTTTGGTAAACATGAAAGTAAGGGTAGCTGAAAATAGCTGTGTAGCAAAGCTCCCCATCCAACCTGACAGAGCTTGAGAGGATCTCAGAGAAGAATGGGAGAAACTCCCCAAATACAGGTGTGCCAAGCTTGTAACGTCATACCCAAGAAGACTCGAGGCTGTAATCGCTGCCAAAGGTGCTTCAAGAAAGTACTGAGTAAAGGGTCTGAATACATATGTAAATGTAATATCCGTTGGATTTTTTAAATACATTTGAAAAATTTATAAAAACCTGTTAAGAAAGTACTGAGTAAAGGGTCTGAATACTTATGTAAATGTAATATCCGTTGGATTTTTTAAATACATTTGAAAAATTTATAAAAACCTGTTTTTGCTTTGTTATTATAGGACAGTGTAGATTCATGAGAAGAAAAAAACTAACATTTTAATCCATTTTAGAATAAGGCTGTAATGTAACAAAATGTGGATGAAGTCAAGGGGTCTGAATACTTTCCGAATTCACTGTAGATGTTACTAGGGCTGTTGCGGTGACCGTATTACCGCCACACCGGCGGTCACGAGTCATGATGGCAGTCAAATTCCACGTGACCTTTTAGTCACGGTAATTAGGCTTCTCCAAGCTCTGATGCTGCTGGTGGTCATTAGTAGCCTACCAAAGTTGCTAACTGCCTGGTACTCAGCACTATATTGTCCCTCTAATCACTCTGACATCAATGCAAATGTTATCAAAAATCTAATCAAACACTTAATGAGAGCCCATGAGCTCATGTTGCGCAACATTTCTACAGGCTAAGCAATTGAGTGATGGCCTCTTAAAAAGAGGAGGATCCCAACAGCTTTCTATAGGCTAGGCCTACTATCTTTATTTCTCAACTTTCCTAATATTAAGCACATTGCTTATCTTTACAACAGGAGTATAGCCAACCTGGCTGGCATGAAAATGAACCACTGGAAAAGTGTACTCCATTCTTTATTTAAGTGCATAGATTACATATTTTCTCCCCTGCCCCTGTTTCGAGATAGGTGCATGATAATGGTCCATTCTAAATCAAAACAAATTTCACACATTATTTAAAGACCAGATTAAATCAAGAATAGTCTGATGGGTGACACTATTAGCCTATCAACTTGTGGCTTGCGAAAGTATTCAACCCCCTTGGCATTTTTCCTATTTTGTTGCCTCACAACCTGGAATTAAAATGGATTTTTTTTTTTTGGGGGGGGGGGGGGGGGGGGGTTGTATAATTTCATTGACAAAACATGCCTACCACTTTGAAGATGCAAAATATATTTTTTTGTGAAACAAACAAGAAATAAGACCAAAAAAACAGAACTTGAGCGTGCATAACTATTCACCCCCCCAAAGTCAATACTTTGTAGAGCCACCTTTTGCAGAAATTACAGCTGCAAGTCTCTTGGGGTATGTCTCTATATGCTTGGCACATCTAGCCACTAGGATTTTTGCCCATTCTTCAAGGCAAAACTGCTCCAGCTCCTTCAAGTTGGATGGGTTCCGCTGGTGTACAGCAATATTTAGGTCATACCACAGATTCTCGATTGGATTGAGGTCTGGGCCATTCCAAGACATTTAAATGTTTCCCCTTAAACCACTCAAGTGTTGCTTTAGCAGTATGCTTAGGGACTGGGAGACTAGTCAGGATTGAGGGAAAGATGAACAGAGCAAAGTACAGAGAGAGATCCTTGATGAAAACCAGCTTCAGAGCGCTCAGGACCTCAGACTGGGGTGAAGGTTCACCTTCCAACAGGACAACAACCCTATACACACAGCCAAGACAACGCAGGAGTGGCTTCGGGACAAGTCTCTGAATGTCCTTGAGTAGCCCAGCCAGAGCCTGGACTTGAACACGATCGAACATCTCTGGAGAGACCTGAAAATAGCTGTGCAGCGACGCTCCCCATCCCAACCTGACAGAGCTTGAGAGGATCTGCAGAGAAAAATTTGAGAAACTCCCCAAATACAAGTGAGCCAAGCTTGTGGCGTCATACCCAAGAAGACTCGAGGCTGTAATCGCTGATTCAACAAAGTACTGAGTAAAGGGTCTGAATACTTATGTAAATGTGATACATTTGCTAAAAATATTATAACCTGTTTTTGCTGTGTTATTATGGGGTAATTGTTTGTATATTGAGGGGTAAAAAACTATTTAATCCATTTTAGAATAAGGCTTTAACGTAACAAAATGTGGAAATAGTCAACGGGTCTGAATACTTTCCGAATGTACTGTAAATGAAGATTTTTTCCAAAGGCCTGCATTAATGACATGGGTTTCTTGTAAAGGTGATTGTGAATATCAAATCAACTGCTTTTCTTTCATCTTCAATGTGGGTAAAAGGGTGTAATCATTTTGTTGTTTCCTTACCAAATGATGTGGCCCATTGCATTGTTCATTGTCTACTCTTAATGCAGTCAAATGTACAATAATAGTTGATTTTATCTGTTGGGGGAGGTAGTTAGCAGTAGAGGCTGGTGGGAATCAATGTAATGGTGCTAAACCCATCAAACACATGGAAACAATGCGCCGTTCCATTGATTCCATTCCTGCCATTACAATGAGCCCGTCCTCCTACAGCTCCTTCCACCAGCCTCTTCTGGTAGGCATAAAATACTGGAATTAAGAAGCTAAAGCCCTGTGTACAGCATTGTCTCCTTCAAGGTGCTGGTTATGACAGGAACAACTGGAATGTGTATTGATTGACATTCCCCGAAGAGTCAAGTCTAGTTTGTAAATGACAACTCATTTTATTACCTTGTAGTCACATGAATCAACTTTGTCTCATGCTCAGTGTACACCATCACAGTGTATTTTCTTAAGAGGATTTCACTCTAAATATACTGATTTACAAAACAATGTTGTATGTTCGACACAGTTACTGTACAATATCTTTGTAACTTCTGAACATTTTTTGAAAATTCTATCTATCCTTGACTCAAGTCTCAATTTAGCCATAATTGATGATAGGTAGAGACCATTCTGGACAACAAGAGGTGAAACCTCTCAGGCACTTGGCCTTTCTGATGGTCAGTATGGTTTTGGAGTTCAGGTAATTGTGTAAACTACTGTAAATTCTTGCAATCATATTTTTTTTTTTACTTTTACATGTGACAAACACAGATTAAGCCCTTAATACAATATAACAAAAAAAGGCCTAATATGCAACCACTCCCAGTCACACACGGGAGAAGACAAACTTCCTGTGCACAATATAGCACTGTCTGTGGCTGGTGGGTAGACTGAACAAACTTCATTGAATTCACTTCACGTCCAATTTGATTTTGATGTTCATCGCCGCCAGCTCTGCAACAAAGTAGCGGAAGACGTACGGCACAGACACCGTAACGATGGAGTCACTCTTGCCGCACAGGAGGCAGACAGTCTTGCGGTGGCGTGTGGCCGACCAGTAGGGTGGTGGTTTCTCCAGTAGAGGGGACAGTAGGCTACCACAGTCCACACACACCTGTGCCACTGAGCGGTCAGAGCAGTTGAAGAGGCGGTCGTGGAGCAGGAAGGAGGTCCCGTGGGCCAGCAGGGCGTCGCGCTCCATCTCCCCGAAGCGGATGCCCCCCTGGATGTTCCTCCCGCCCACCGGCTGGTTGGTCACCCTGTCCCGCGCTCCAGTGGTCCTCACCTGGAACTTGTCGGAGACCATGTGACGTAGCCTCTGGTAGTACACCACGCCGATGAAGATGTCCGCCTCCAGCTCCAGGCCGCTGAGGCCGCTGTAGAGGCGCTCGGTGCCGTAGTGATTGTAGCCAGCGGCGCGCAGCATGTCGCCAAAATGCTCCAGCGCCGAGCTCTCCTCGGAGAAGGTGAAGGGAGTGGCGTCGTGGCACAGGCCGTGGAGGGCGCCCGACTTGCCGGCCATGCTCTCGATGAGCATGCCGATGGTCATGCGGGAGGGGAAGCCATGGGGGTTGAACAGGATGTCGGGGGTCATGCCACTCTCTGTGAAGGGCATGTCCTCGGCAGGCCACAGGCGGCTTAGGATGCCCTTCTGCCCGTGGCGGCTGGCAAACTTGTCCCCGATGGTGGGGTTGCGGGGCACTCGCACCGTGATGCAGATGCGCTTGAAGCGGCCCGAGCCAGCGTCGTTGCTGCACACCTTGATGTTGTCCACCACGCAGCTTTCTTGACTCCTACGAAAGCGAGGGGAAAAACAGCAGGTTATGAAATTGCATTAGCAGCTGCATCTGGCCAACTCATCATCGTAGAGAAATAGTCAACACTATGTTATGACAATGGAAAGAACATATTAGGCCAACCTGGATAACTCACTTGTAAAAGTTGACAAAGCTCTGCCCGGTGTTGAGGTTGATGTAGCTGTAGAAGGGGTCTCCGTACTGTAGTACGGCTCCGATGGGGGGCAACCCATCACTGTCCAGTTTGTCCATTACCTTGGGGTCACCGGGTTTGACCCCAAACACCAGGCAGTCCTCGCCCTTCATCTTCTCTGCCAGGTCCACCAGCTCAGTCTTGTAAACACAGCCGTGACCAAAGCCCCTCTCCCACGACGACTTGTTCAGGATCTAGGCAAACACAGAATTAAATAGAACACTTATACATGTCTTCTACGCACACCTGGTACAGTGAAATCAGCCAATGGGTAAATAAAATGTGAATTGTCTCACCATGGCGTCCTCCATGTCGTAGCCAGTGTAGGAGATCACAGCGACAATGGCGTTGGTGCCGATGGGGTAGTTGTCCATGTTGTAGTGGTCGTACATGACAGGCCTGACCAGAGGGCTCTGGGGGGTCTGGAGGCGGTACAGCTTGTTGTCCGAGCGCTCCTGGAACGAGTGGAGGGGGAAGCCCATGGTCTGTTTACCTGTGGAGGAGAAGATGAGGGTTACACCAACAATGTCTACGGAATCATTTAAAAAGTCAGGCATTCTAGAAGAACAAAGCAAATTTTTCACATGTAGTGTTGTCTGTATAGAAATGAGCTAAAACCCTCACTTACAAATAAGGTATCTAAAAGGTCAATTAACTCAGAAAACACCAGAGATGCCTGCTTCTGAACACTAGGGGGCACCCTTACCCATCTGACACTGGTACATGTTCCTGGGACTCTGGTTGTGGTCAGAGTAAGGGATGAAGTTAGCCACCACGCTCAGCATGCTGTGGGGGAAGAGCTCCTGGTGGGTGGTCACACCCGGCTCGATCTCATCCTCACTGATGCCCACGTTGATGTAGAGCTGTCAAACAGGAGACAGACAGACTAGCTTTATTCACATATGTTTCCTTGTTCTCAAAACAGAATAAGGTAACGTCTCTGTAACAGTCCACACAAGAAGAAAACGTCACAGCATACTGTAGATTTGGGTGCATAAATGGGATTATAAACTGGGTAGTTCGAGTCCTGAATGCTGATTGGCTGAAAGCCGAGGTACATCAGACCGTATTCCACGGGTATGACAAAACATTTATTTTCACTGCTCTAATTACGTTGGTAACCAGTTTATAATAGCAATAAGACACCTCTGGGGTTTGTGGTATATTGCCAATATACCACAGCTAATGGCTGTATCCAGGCACTCCGCATTGCGTCGTGCTTAAGAAAAGCCCTTAGCCGTGGTATATTGGCCATATACCACACCCCCTCAGGCCTTATTGCTTAACTATTTTATGTTTAAAGTTTAGTCGGAAGGAGCGGCCACACCATACCACAGGCCTCTAAGGAATTAGGACTAAAACACATACAGTCCCTTCAGAAAGTATTCACAACCCTTTACTTTTACCACATTTTGTTGTGTTACAGCCTTCATTTAAAATAGATTACATTTAGATGTGTCACTGGCCTCCAGAAATCTTTACAAATTCATTAAAAATGAAAAGCTGAAATATCTTGAGTCAATAAGAATTCAACCCCTTTCTTATGGCAAGCCTAAATAGGTTCAGGAGTAGAAATCTGCTTAACAAGTCACATAAGTTGCATGGACTCATTGTGTGCAATAGTGTTTACCATAATTTTTTTATGACTACCTCATCTCTGTACCCCACACATACAGATAATTGTAAGGTCCCTCAATCGAGCAGTGAATTTCAAAGAAAGATTCAACCACAAAGACCAGGAAGGTTTTGCAATTCCTCGCAAAGGGCACCCATTGGTAGATATATACAGTGCCTTCGGAAAGTATTCAGACCTTCACCTTTTCCACATTTTGTTACGTTACAGCCTTATTCTAAAATTGGTCAAAAAATTTAAAAAAATCCTCAGCAAACCCCATAATGACAAAGCGAAAACAGTTCAGAAATTTTACCACAATTATAAAATAACAAAAACAAATACCTTATTTACATACACTACCGTTCAAAAGTTTGGGGTCACTTAGAAATGTCCTTTATTTCGAAAGAAACGCATTTTTTTTAACCATTAAAATAACATCAAATTGATCAGAAATACAGTGTAGATATTGTTCATGTTGTAAATTATCTACATAGACGTACAGAAGCCCAATATCAGCAACCATCAGTCCTGTGTTTCAATGGCACGTTGTGTTTGCTAATCGAAGTTTATCATTTTAAAAGGCTAATTGATCATTAAATGTAGGAACTGGGTTCTACAGTTTGAACCCTTGCTGTCTCTGGCTCCACACCCACCCTGCCATCTAGATCTGTGAAAGTTAGTGTATAACCTAATGATCCATCATGTATGACATTCCTGGGAGTGTGTAAACTTACATTTTGTATTACCATATCATTTTTGTATGTTCTCTATAATTATGTACTTCAAAATGTATCAATTGACCAATTTGGCACATTTAGGGAAAACTTGATGCAAGATAGTCCAGTATTTGGGCTCCAGAGTGGTGCAGTGGTCTAAGGCACTGCATCTCAGTGCTTGAGGCACCACTACAGACCCCCTGGTTCGATTCCAGGCTGTATCACAACCGGCCGTGATTGGGAGTCCCATAGGGCGGCGCACAATTGGCCCAGCGTCATCCGGGTTTGGCCGGTGTAGGCCGTCATTGTAAATAAGAATTTGTTCTTAACTGACCTGCCTAGTTAAATAAAGGTTAAAAAAACAAAAAAAACAAGGGTCTGATCCTTAAGAGGTTAATGGCTGTAATAGGAGAAAACTGAGGATGGATCAACAACATTGTAGTTACTCCACAATACTAACCTAATTGACAGAGTGAAAAGAAGGAAGCCTGTACAAAATAAACATATTCCAAAACCTTGCATCCGGTTTACAATAAGGCACTTAAGTAAAATGCAAAACATTTGGCTAGGAAATTCCCTTCATGTCTTGAATACAAATCATTATGTTTGGGGGCAAATCCAACACATCACTAAGTACCACTCTTCATATTTTCAAGCATGGTGGTGGTATGTTATGGGTATGCTTGTCATCGGCAAGGACTAGGGAGCTTAGAATAAAAATAAACGGAATAGAGATAAGCACAGGCAAAATCCTAGAGGAAAACCTGGTTCAGTCTGCTTTCCATCAGACACTGGGAGACAAATTCACCTTTCAGCAGGACAATAACCCAAAACACAAGGCCAAATATACACTGGAGTTGCTTACCAAGACAACATTGAATGTCCCTGAGTGACCTAGTTGAAAATCTATGGCAAGACTTGAAAATGTCTGTCTAAAAATGATCAACAACCAACTTAACAGAGATTGAAGAATTTAAAAAAGAACAAATGTGCAAATATTGTACAATTCAGGCGGGCAAAGCTCTAAGAGACTTACCCAGAAAGCCGAGTCAATACATGTTAGGTGATTCTAACATGTATTGACTCAGGGGTGCTCAGCTGGTAGAGCACGGCGCTTGTAACGCCAAGGTAGTGGGTTCGAACCCCGGGACCACCCATACACAAAAATGTATGCACGCATGACTGTAAGTCGCTTTGGATAAAAGCGTCTGCTAAATGGCATATTATTATTATTATATATTATAAATGTGATATTTCTGTATTTCATTTTCAATACATTTGCAAAAAATTCTACACACATATTTTCACTGTCATTGCGGGGTATTATGTGTAGATGTGAGAAAAAAAGATTTCATTACAACAAAATGTGTAATAAGTCAAGGGGTATAAATACTTGCTGAAGGCACTGTCGGCCTAACCATCTATAAGTAACTAGGTACTGACATGACACTACAAAACAAACTCAAGAAACAACTGCCAACAATCACTGTAATGACTGTCCTAGAGTTGACATAACCAAGAATCACTGACAACACCCTCAGCTTTAAAATTAGTTTGATCTAGCATCCTTCCTTGTCCTAGAGGCTACGATTAGTAACTAGGGGGTTTACTAAGGATGTCCAAGAATTGAGAGATTTTAAGCAGCATGTGACTGTAGTACCTGTTCAAAGGTGCCGATCAGTTCTTGCTGGCCCAGGGCCAGGTTACGGACGGGCCGCACCATGCGGCAGGGGGTGGTGAAGAGGTACAGGCCTGGGTACATGCTGGCCTTGCTGGTCTGGGGAACCAGAACTATCTCAGTCCAGGGAGGGATCTTCTTCTCCTTCAACACCTGCAAGAGGGTGGCATGAACAAGAATGAGTAAGAGGCATTAAAACATAACTAGCTGCCACTATTCATGTGTGATGAATTATCTATTACATAAGTGAGTGATGATCAAACCCATGTTATAATTGCAGATGGTTGGGAGATGCCCTGCCTTACCTTGAACCTGCGGAGGGAGTCTGCGAGGATGGGGGCCAGCTCAGTCTCTACCCAGCCCACCATGGCACCATCCAGGAGCACAGGATAGCAGTCAGAGTAGGCCCTGCCAGGAGAACCATCCACAGGAGTCACACCTTGAGGAGAACGATGGGACGACAATCACATATAAACGACTGAGCATTTTCACACATCGACATCCAGTATGTACGAATAAACCAATAATAATAATAGCTATAGGAACCAATAGGTTCCAGCTGCATGCTAATCACAGTGAGTGACACAACCTTGGATATCCTGTCACGTTGAATCTCAGGCCTTTGCGTTTTACTTTGGACACATGTCCAGTGTTTGTCATGTATGACCACTATAACATGGACAACTACCCCATCGGAACCAACAGCATCGTCTCTGTGATCTCATACACGGGCTACGACATGGAGGACGCCATATTGAGGTAGCTAGCTATACATATGCACAGGTTTGTCGACACTCACCGAGGGAGCAGAGCAGGGCAGGGAGGGTGGTGGTGGGCAGGGCCAGGGCTACGATTTCACAGTGGGCCGTCATGTGGTTCATGAGGCCGCAGGGGTCTCCGTCAGGGGTGTGCACGGGACACAGGAAGCCCCAGGACTCGGGCAGCAGACGACGTACGGAGGTGGTCCTCATCTTGGCAAAGGCTGCCCCTCTGTGTACGCAGCGGAAGTGGGACAGGTAGCGGATGAAGTTGAGCTTGTCGGCCACCACACTCAGTCCTGTGTTCTGGAGCATGCCCAGACCTGACGACAGAGGAAAAGGAACAGAATCGGTCACAATGCAGCAGCTTGGGACCAGCATGTGTTTCTAGGTAACTAACATGTCATGAACAGTATATCTGCATAACCCAAGTAAAACACTGGGAGAAAAATAGAACAGTGGTTATGTTGTAATGACAAATAATTAGTATGTTTCGTATCACAGCATACCTGTCTTTGAGGTGAGATTCCCAGTGGCCAGCAGATACTCAAAGGGCTGGGTAACATCAGAACCCAGGTTGAACATCTTCACCAGATTCTCAGAGCTCGCCCCACCAGTCAGCCTATGGGCCCTCTTGTCCATAGACAGTTTCACAGACACCATCCAGGCAGCCATCTTCTCCTATTATCACATTGCAAATTGTTAAACACATCTTACAGAGTTATTATATGACCTAGAGGAGAACTCGGCCTTACAGTCTAGGTTTAACTCCTAGCATTCTGGCCTGACATTTTTGTGGTGTTTTTACATTACACATGCCAAACATGACAACTTCTGTTCACCACAATGTTGTAGTATCTTCACAAGAAATCGTTTTTTTTGATTTACCAATATGTCTGATCCAGAACTGTTCATCATTTGTCAATAGTCCAGTGCAGAGCTGTCCTGATGTCTAGAACTGACCTTGAGAAACATTAGGTAGAGCTGTCCTGGTGTGAGCACCTCCTGACACATCAGACTGTCCGGGTTCTCCTCCATGCACTCCTGCTTGGCAAACGTGAATAGCTTCCGTGTCATCAGACACAGCAGGTAGAACTTCTCCACATCCGACTTCAGGTGGATACAGACGCACTGGCTAAACACGAGTGAACACAACACATTCCATAAAGAGTGTGCGTGTGTGGGTAGAGCATGGTTCTTGCAACGTCAGGATAGTGGGTTAGAGTCCAAGGACCACCCACACATGTCAAAGACATTATCCACTCATGACTAAGTCACTTTGGATAAAAGTGTTTGCTATAGACATACACTATATGGCCAAAAGTATGTGGCCACCCCTTCAAATTAGAGGATTCGGCTATTTCAGCCACACTCGTTGCAGACAGGTGTATAAAATCGAGCACACCGCCATGCAATCTCCATAGACAAACATTGGCGTAGAATGGCAAGTGCTGAAGAGCTCAGTGACTTTCAACGTGGCATCGTCATAGGATGCCACCTTCCTAACAATTCAGCTCATCAAATATCTTTTAAAATGTGTACAATTTAATTAAAAATGAAAGGCTGAAATGTCTTGAGTCAATAAGTATTCAACCCCTTTGTTATGGCAAGCTTAAATAAGTTCAGGAGTAAAAATGTGCTTAACAAGTCACATAATAAGTTGCATGGACTGCATGATTTTTTGAATGACTACCTCATCGTTGTACCCCACACATACAATTATCTGTAAGGTCCCTCAGTCGAGCAGTGAATTTCAAACACAGATTCAACCACAAAGACCAGGGAGGTTTTCTAATGCCTCGCAAAGAAGGGCACCTATTGGTAGATGGGTAAAAATAAAAAAAGCAGACATTGAATATCCCTTTGAGCATGGTGAAGTTATTAATAACACACACAAACACTTACTCTAGCAGGTAGTTGGCACACTGTGCATCGGTGTGCCACTCTGGCAGGTTCATCTTGACCCGGAAGCGCTCGCCCAGGTAGTTGAGCACCTTGCCGCGGGTGATGCAGCCCTCCTCCATGACGAGTCGCAGCATCTCAGACACACAGCTCTTGTAGAAGGAGTTTTCCTCACGACCTTTGATCAGCTCCTGGTAGATCTGGAAGTCTGTGAAGTCCACTAAAGCCTGACCAAAACAGACAGGCAATGTGGTTAAAATGTGAAATATACCCTTCATTTCATACAGTATAGGCTATATGTCCCAATTCTCATAACATTTTTGTGTGTCGCATGCATAAATACCTAGTGGACACAGACTAATGTTAATGTGACATGCATGTTCCTGTTCCAAATATCACTGCTCCATCTCACCTTTAGCGCAAAGCCCAGGGGGAGGAAGAAGAGCTCTTTCTGGTAGATGAAGTTGAGCATCACAGTCCCGTTGTCCAGGTAATGCAGGTTCATATTGATAGCTGTGTGCTCCTCCTTCACACAGCGCATTGAGATACCTGGGGAGACAGACAAAGAAGAGCTTTATCTTTTGTCTGCATCTGGGTCAAGGCGATAGGACTGTGATAATCAATGTTAGGCTACTTAAAGCAGGCTGTGTTGTCTCAACTGCTCCAACAATGCAATGTTCGGCTCGTACATGAACTGCCTTGCTTACCATACTGAGTGTATCCCTGGCCTCTGTTCTTCCACTTGGGTCTTGACATAGCGATAGGATAGTTTCTCCTTGGCATGATCAGCATGCGAATAACCTTCTCGTTCCCATTCACAATAAAATAACCACCCATTTCCTGTTTGAATGAGGATGGAGAGAAAAAGAGATTGAAATCTACAGAATGTAGATGCATGCAAACTGTAAAATGTAAGCGTGAAAGCATAAAAATGTGCCTTTATTTTTGCTTCGAAAGCACAAATGATCAGAATGACTGGTTCCCACAGATCAGGGTTTCCGTTATGAAAATGTGGCGCAGGACATTTGACCGGCAGCATTTTAATTGACTGGACATTTTAGAAATGTACCGGACCCATATGCATTGGGTACCTAACCTGATTAGGGCATCCAGCCACAGTGCTCTGAATGACAGAAATCACATTTAGATTATGGTAATTAATCTTAACAGAACATGTGTCCTTACCGCACACTTTGAAGATGTCAGAATAACTGTCCACATGTACCTTTCCTCAGCCAACAAGATGAGTAACGAACAGCAAAGTCATTAGCCTTTGCATAGGCGGAGCTTGAGCTTAAAGTTTGGGGAATCAAATCTTCACCATAAAAAAATTCACCTTTTAATAGAGCATTCCATGCATCATCGCATTTGCAGGCCTACTAGTCGTAATGTGATGAGTAGATTCAATAGTCATAATTTAGGCTAATAATATAACTCAAACAGTTCAATGCATGGCTGAGCACATATTGTAGAGGCCTGGCCTATAGGCTATATAAGATACCTTTCTTCTTTCATTGCACGGAAAAAACAGTGGCACTGACCCAACAATGATAGAGTGAATATGCTCAGTGCATTGAGCACTCACCAGGGACATGGATGATTCTCTCCGCTGGTGCCAATGAGATAGGCCTACCGTTGTTAGCTCAATTAAGTTGAGAATATTGATAACTAAAAGACAGATTAGTCTTTTCATTGTCTTCTCTTTACAGCAATATCCATTTGCTTTGCAAACTATGTTTTCCGGCGATTATAATTTTGACGGCCAGCAACTCAACAACCATCTTTTTGGTATTTGTAGCGCGCGCTGTCAAAATTGCATGCGCTGCCTTTCCTTCCGACTGTAGGCAATGCGATTTAAAATAATAATTTTTTTAAAGCTAGGGGACGCTAACAATCCTCTGTGGCCAAATCATGCTTTAGTAGTCTATTTTGAATGACTGTATTAAGTAGGCTATTTAATTTTGCCAATGTACTTAGGGAAAGCTTCCCGTAGCCTCTAGGAAGTGCCACCTATGAGCCTACGTCAATCTACTATCCCCATAGTAGAAAAGTTGACCTATTCTATTGGTCAGCTTGTCGAGAAAGAAATAGCCCAAACAGACTCTGGGACAGTCGTGGTACGATATATGCCAAATTCACACAACCAGTATGCCTAGGCTACATAACAAACCCTGTTAAAAAGCAATAAATCTGATCAGAACATTTTGTTTAAAATGTTGATAAACTATTATTTCTTAACATTAGCGCAGCAATGCATTTGGCTACCGGACAATGAAAGATAGTTCAAAACCAATAGAACATGAGAAAATTAGGCTACTGGTTTCAATGGCATATGGAAGTCTTTATAAAATAATTGCCTTCACGGATTTGGTCGGATTTTGCGTAGGCTACTTTGAAGCAAGGTAAAACATCCCTCATAATATGTAGTAAAACATTCACGTTTCAAACAATTAAGTAGCTATAGGTTTTCAAAATGCATACTGCCTCCAGCTCATTGCAAAGTGGGTGTGACGCGCTGATTAAGCCTGCCTTCCTTTGACTATCCATTTGAATGGCGAATGGAAAGGCCGCTTCAATTACCAGTTGAGAAATACAAATATTAGCTATTTTTAATCGTGGCCCAAAAACTATTCAACACACGATTGCATTTAGAATTGTTGCACAATGATTGGGCTTATAAAAGCACTGTCTGACAGATTTTCTGTTCAAAGGCTCTGTTTCTGTATGCTGTGCCCATGCGATAAATAAGATAAATAACGAATATACACACGTGGCAAATTTAATTCCACGGAAATATGCAAATTATTACCGGCTAACGGAAACCCTGCCACATACAGTGAGGGAAAAAAGTATTTGATCCCCTGCTGATTTTGTACGTTTGCCCACTGACAAACAAATGATCACTCTATAATTTTAATGGTAGGTTTATTTGAACAGTGAGAGACAGAATAACAACAACAAAATCCAGAAAAACATGTCAGAAATGTTATAAATTGATTTGCATTTTAATGAGGGAAATAAGTATTTGACCCCCTCTCAATCAGAAAGATTTCTGGCTCCCAGGTGTCTTTTATACAGGTAACGTGCTGAGATTAGGAGCACACTGTTAAAGGGAGTGCTCCTAATCTCAGCTTGTTACCTGTATAAAAGACACCTGTCCACAGAGCAATCAGTCAATCAGATTCCAAACTCTCCACCATGGCAAAGACCAAAGAGCTCTCCAAGGATGTCAGGGACAAGAATGTAGACCTACACAAGGCTGGAATGGGCTACAAGACCATCGCCAAGCAGCTTGGTTAGAAGGTGACAACAGTTGGTGCGATTATTTGCAAATGGAAGAAACACAAAATAACTGTCAATCTCCCTCGGCCTGGGGCTCCATGCAAGATCTCACCTCGTGGAGTTGCAATGATCATGAGAACGGTGAGGAATCAGCCCAGAACTACACGGGAGGATCTTGTTAATGATCTCAAGGCAGCTGGGACCATAGTCACCAAGAAAACAATTGGTAACACACTACGCCGTGAAGGACTGAAATCCTGCAGCGCCCGCAAGGTCCCCCTGCTCAAGAAAGCACATATACAGGACCGTCTGAAGTTTGCCAATGAACATCTGAATGATTCAGAGGAGAACAGGGTGAAAGTGTTGTGTTCAGATGAGACCAAAATTGAGCTCTTTGCCGTCAACTCAACTCGCCATGTTTGGAGGAGGAGGAATGGTGCCTATGACCCCAAGAACACCATCCCCACCGTCAAACATGAAGGTGGAAACATTATGCTTTGGGGGTGTTTTTCTGCTAAGGGGACAGGACAACTTCACCGCATCAAAGGGACGATGGACGGGGCCATGTACCGTCAAATCTTGGGTGAGAACCTCCTTCACTCAGCCAGGGCATTGAAAATGGGTCGTGGATGGGTATTCCAGCATGACAATGACCCAAAACACATTGCCAAGGCAACAAAGGGGTGGCTCAAGAAGAAGCACATTAAGGTCCTGGAGTGGCCTAGCCAGTCTCCAGACCTTAATCCCATAGAAAATCTGTGGAGGGAGCTCCAATGACTTGGAGAAGATCTGCAAAGAGGAGTGGGACAAAATCCCTCCTGAGATGTGTGCAAACCTGGTGGCCAACTACAAGAAACATCTGACCTCTGTAATTGCCAAAGTACTAAATCATGTTTTGCAGAGGGGTCAAATACTTATTTCCCTCATTAAAATGCAAATCAATTTATAACATTTTTGACGTGCGTTTTTCTGGATTTTATGTTGTTATTCTGTCTCTCACTGTTCAAATAAACCTACCATTAAAATTATAGACTGATCATGTCTTTGTCAGTGGGCAAACGTACAAAATCAGCAGGGGATCAAATACTTTTTTCCCCTCACTGTATGTGCTGTGGGTAGGAAGCGTGCCATTCTCCTACCTCAGACTCCTCGTGGTGCTCAATGAGCTCTTTGGGAGGGAGCCCATGCAGGTTACACAACCTAGACTTCACCATGATGGGCACTTGGCCCAGAGACTGCTTGATGATGCCTTTGGGAATCCCATTCACGGACCAGCTGACATCTGCCTGTGAAGAATCACAGCACCAAACTTAAATTCATCACAATGGACAAGTTTTGTGATAGATTGTAGAAAGACCTTGTCTTGACCGTCATATACAGTACAATCCATATGGTACGGATGTTGGGTTTGCAGGCAAGCTTACCACAAGCTTTCCCCGGTAGGTACAGCGTCTCCCTCTGCACTCTGCTGGGAACACCCTCAGGTCCCGGCAGATGCTCCCTTTGCCCACCACTGGTCTATAGATGGTGGCCTCCACAAATGCCAGGCTGATCCGGTCATTTCTAAACATAAACTCAAAGGGAGGGATGGCCTGAAAAGGAGAAATGGAACAAACATTTTCACATGAACTCTCCAACCCCATGGTTTTGCATGACAGACACCAACTACAACCAGGTTGCGGCATAGTAACAGATTGTTACATCAGATAATGTGAGTTAACCAAATAGTTTTGGTATCCATTACTGTGAGTTACAGGTTAAGTACTGTTTTGTGTAGCACAGAATTTTCAACCAACCTTAACTTGTCAATTTCAAATCTCTCATTGATTGAGACAGGGGGTCCACCCCAAAGTGCCACATGTCATGATGACACATCTATGTTGATCAATGACAGAATATTTGAAATAGACAAGATGGCGGTTTACACGTTGTTGGATTACTTCATGGAGCAAAATATTGATTTCTTTCAATAACTGAGCATTTTTAAAATTCAAAACGCACCACCTGCAAATGGACACAGACATTTTAAAAGATACTATCTTTGTTCTCGATTTGGCCAAACATGTATCTCCAAGTTAAGGTTGGTTGAAAAGTCGCTGTGCTACACCAAACAGTGCCTAAATTGTAACTCCCTGTAATGGATACCAAAAATCTTTGGCTAAATCACATTATCTGATGTAACAATCTGTAGCTAGTTGCTGCGGTGTATTGGGGAGAATGAATAATATGGTGTAATTGCAGAACGCAATTCAGGGGCGTTTCTTGATGTGGGTGTTCCCTGATATCAGGAAATGCCCATTGAGACCTGCCATTGGTCAGTTCAGGTGTTATGAGACTAGTGGTTTCTCGACACAGATGATTGTTAACGTGGCAGGTTATGATAACTAACGTGGCAGGTTAGGATAATTAGGTTAAGGTTAGGAAAAGAGTTAGGGTTAGGCTTAACTACCCGACGCGAAAGAAACGTCCACGGACAAATGGCGAGCGTCAATGGGTGTAACTTGATATCAAGAAACGCCTATATCAGAACACGCCCCTCCTTGCCTTCTGCAATTACAACCTTCTCAGAATGAAAGACCCTTGAATTGAAGAAAGAAAAAATAAAATAATTATAAGACAAGTTATCAAATCAAGTGAGCTAAGTTAGCTAACGTCACTTTGTGGCAAATACATCGGTGACTTCCTCGGACAAAATCAAAATCTTGTTTTCTAACTGATGTTTAAGGACACTTATAAGTAGGTCTAACTATTGTAACAACAAATATAAAAATCGTTGTTGTAACGTTACTAGCTAGTCGCTAGCTACTTCAGTCATTTTAGCAACATTGTGGCTTGAGGGGCACGGCTGACACAGCACTGACTGTCCCACGTGAAAGTTCCCCTACCTGCACAGCACGACACAGTCCATCTGAAACTGCTTGGTCAAACGACTCGATATGAGCCTTCGTTAGGTCCTGAACAGCGGCATGTTGTTTTTCCTTCGGTATGCCATAGCCTGCTTCTGTTAAATGTTTAAGGCTTGGACTTGTCGGTAAATTACTCCACTTAGCCGCAAAATCCATGCTTATTCTTGTTTACCACATGCGCGTTAGCCCCACAGGAAGTACAATCGTCGTAATAGGAAGTGAGTGAAAGGTCAATTCATTTAAAGGGGAAGCATCCAATTTTCAGACCTATGCGAGTGAGCTATCAAACAAAATCAAAACCGTATTTTTGAAAATGATTGTATTAGTTTGGTTGACTATTCATAGAAGTGAGAAATGTGTTGAGAGAAATGGAATTACCAAACAGCATCTAAAGTGTAATGCTATGTCTAAATTATTTTCAGCATTAAAGATAATTTCCACTGTAACCAAATAGCTAGCGGTCTATAGATATCAGATCTCATTTTCTCTATGTATTGATTGTGGCCGTGTTTGAGAGCATAAAAACCGTGATGTATGGGTAAATTGTGACTGATTGACCGACTGATAACAGACGTGTTTCTTTGCCCAGCCATTGCTGACGCCTGCCAGATCTTACAAAGCCTGGATAGGTATTTTACGTACAAGCCAACCACATCATATGTTATAGCAATCTATCAGTCGATGACGTGGCACGCAACCATTGGTTGATGCATCCAACATCTGAGCAGGGGAACATGACCAACATGACTGTGTCATCAACTGACAGATTGCTAACATTTGTGGTTAGCTGATACTTAAAATACCAATCCAGGCATTGTAAAATTTGGCATGCATCAGCAACGCCTGGGCAGAGGAACGCACCAACAGAGTAGTTATTTATGATGCAAAGTGATTTGTAGATCAGTCAATCTCGACTCGCCTTTAAAGTCAGCTGCAATGGGGAACATGCCCTTTGTGTTGGTCTATTGCAGAGTCATCATGACTGCCATTCAGTTGGATAAAGTCAATGCTGGCAATCATGTACAACAAATGATTATGTTACAATATCTATATGATTTTCTTTCATGTTATATCTAGTGTAAATCCCTGGGTCTTATATCAGTTTACATCACAAAAGAAGTCAGGAGACTCAGATCAACGATACATGACATTTTATTCTCCATGATAATGTTTGATACAATAAAGTTTTCATGCAAAAGTTTGATAAACATTAGCTGAAGAAAACACAACATATGCATTCATCTGACTACATACAGTACAGTTAAATCATGTTGACTGGAGGAGAGGTTTTTAACATTTCAATGTGCCAATGTTGCTGTTGTGTCTATCGATTTATTTATTCTTGGCTGCCTTGGTTTAGTTAAAATGTTTGATAATGATTGATTTAAAGGAAGTTACAGATTGCACTTTAAAGGACTTGAAATACCTAAAACCCACATATTTCATAGCTGGGGAAGTAATACTGAAGGGGGAAAGAATGACATTGATTTTAGACATACAAACAAGTTTTCATTGGTAAGAAATAAGAATTCATAACCTACCAAGCAGGTAATTAAAAATGGGAAAAGTTCAGTGCAAAGAAACTCTGCATGAGGACATTACAAAAGACTGAACAAACACAAAATATTGAACAATTAAACAGTCACACAGACACATATGCCAGATAGCAATAGACAAATTCACGTCTTTACAATCAAACAAATGAAAGGTGCATTTATATGCAGGACGTCTATTGCTTCTTCCAAACATCAAGAGCCAATTCCCACTAAGGCACCCCTTCCCCTTGATGGAAAGACATTTCCCCAATTTGTATAATAATACTGATCATTTTCTTTGGTTGTTTTCCCAAACAATGTGTTGAATAATACAGTTTAGCTCTTTTTTTATTTTGCAAAACAATCTAGAAACAAACACCTTTTTCGTTGTCCCTCTGATATACAATCTAACCGAACATTCAACCACAAATAGATTATAATTCATATCCATTGTATGCTTTGACCATGTGCATATCAAACAGATGCTATTCTAGCAGTCATTCACACCATACTTCATTCCTCATAGCTATCTTTAAACATATAAAAAGACAGTGATTAAATGTGTCAATGTTGTCCCTTAAGTAGTTTCACTCAAAACATGTTGAAGCATTATCTCAACTAAAATATTTGAAAATGTGTGATAATGAAGAAAAGAGGTGGTGGTTAAGGGACTAACTCGTCCTTAAAACAAAATGTAACATAGGACAAGGTCACTTAATCAAAGGGATATGTGTGGGTGATAATGCTACAAAGCCTCTGTAAACTGAATGTGGTCAGGTGTTCTACATTGAATATCACAGTGTAAACACAGAAACAGACAAGGAAAACAACTTCCTAGCAGGCATGTCTCACAACTCCACTTAACATCATGGAAGCTGTGTAAAAACCTAAATTACAATATTGGTAGTCTAAAACCACATAAAATAAATACACTTAAAAGCTGAGATCCATGATAGGTGAAACAGCGCCACTGGCCGCCCCAGCCGCATTGTTATTGTTTTTGTTTTGAAGAAAGGAGCATCCAGCATCGTGGTAAAAAAAATAAAATAAAAATCGCAGTACATGCTCTGCTGTTCTATTGCGCGTGCAATGATGTGAAATTATGTCCGAGGGAAAACAACAGTGTTCGTTGTTTGAAGTAACTGTTGTAATATCACAAATGGACGTGGCAGTTTCACTGCTATGGATTGCCGCTTTAAAAAACAAAATTGCATTGACATTAAGTCATTTCTGGGTTTGAAGCTACTACGTTTAAGTCAAGTTCACTACAGGTTTTAAGTAAGCAAGCAAAAACTAACAAGAAACACATTTTCTTTGAGCTAGCATCACGAATACACGCACTAAACAAACATTTCTGCAAAAGTAATCGGTGCAGAACTATGCAAACCTAGGCAAATCTATGTCAAAACATCAGGTGTCAAAATGCAATGCAGTTCTTGACAAACAGGTGTGTCTCATGGACCTATTGGGAAGGTAATCAAAAGGTATGAAAGAGACCATTTTAAAGGAAGCTCTTGGCTAAGAACTTTCAGTATTAGAGGCAAAAGGGGAGAGTAGGCCTACTTGCATTAGGACACAAGACACTAACATGCAGTCCCTCTTAAAATGACAAACAAACTGATCTACAGCTGTAGTGGAGATCCCCGTGCGTAACTGTGTACAGCGTATGTGGATTCGTAAATTCTTTGTCAATATATTCTGTCTGTATATGTTTATCGTCTATATTCTGTCTGTTGATTCTGTTTACCGTGGCAGCACCATTTCACCAAATCAAATTCCGAGTAGGCCTATATGTAAATCAGTGGAGGCTGCTGAGGGGAGGACGGCTCATAATAATGGCTGGAAAGGAGCAGATGGAATGGCATCAAACACGTGGAAACCATGTGTTTGATGTATTTGATACCATTCCACCGATTCCGCTCCAGCCATTACCATGAGCCAGTCCTCCCCAATTAAGGTGTCACCAACCTCCTGTGATGTAAATGTAATTGGTGATTAAAGGTGATTGTGATTCTAATTCTAACAGTTTTACCGGAAGAACCATAGAAGGTTCAAAATAGGTTGAAATGTTAAAAAGTTGCAAATCTAGTCTCAATTGAACAGGGAAGGTTTATCTCTAGTCATTCAACAAATGCTCTTTGTTGACAGAGAAAAATAAGTAATCTGTCTAGGAATTTCCTCTTATACAAGGGGTGAATTAACAACACTGACTAAATGAACTTGAATAAAGGTCTCTGTCAAAAATGGAAGACCTAAAACTACATGGCGTGCACAGAATAATAGCTATCAAATAGCTATAATACAAGTTACTTAGCAATAAAATAGAAACTGGAAGCAACATATTTTCTGCTTTAATCCTTGTTTAAACTACAGTACACAAAACTCTCCGGGGCTTTGTGAATAACCATTATATGAAATAAAGATGGATGCTAACTTTGTTGGATAAATCCAAAGATCTCCAAACCCAGAGAAAAAGACTACACCGCGCATACATACACACTTGCCTGACCGACAATACACTGGCTCACATGACACACACAGTAGCAGAAATGCTATGCTAAATCGTCAGGTTGCATCTTTAAGTGGGTATGGGTGGAGATGTAAGGCACTAAAGTCTGTATAGTAAGTCAAGCATCCCCTCCATCTTCAGAGGTCGTCCATACACAGTCTAGAGGAGTCTCAGCGGCAGCAAACCTGTCATCAGTCTGTCGCCCATTCATCATCCTCACCCAAACATTCACCAAGTCTCCACACATTCATATTCTGCATGTCCGCCCAGGCTTTCCTCTGAAATGCCCTTCCACTGTGGTGTATGAGAGAGGAGAATCTGGTAGCACATACGAGAAGGTCCCACATTCAATCTTCAGTCAATCACAAGGGTCATCCACTTTGAGACAAAACTTGCCAAGCAAGAACCAATGAGATGGCAAGCTTCCTGGCCTGAGGGACCTCTCAGAAAAGCCTAGAAGTGAGGAGCAGAGGGTGGAACTTCTGAAGCAGAGGAGGGGGGACTTACAATCGGGTGAATGGGCCCACATGGAGGGGTCCTCTCAATTTCGGAGAGGAACAGGTGGATGAGGTGAGAGTAGAAAATGAGGGGGAGGAGGAGTAGGGAGCAGGGGAGGAGGAAGATGATCGTGGTTCAGAATCGTTGTTCAGAGTGAAGACACTGGAGATGGCTATGTCCACAATACCTTGGCATAGCTCCGGGTAGAGTTTCCTAGAGGAGGGAGAGTTAACAGTGCAATTAATAAGATGTCATGCCAGTTAAATCAGACTTAGTGAGATTATATAGGGGAGAATTAATGATCCAGAGTCCAGAAACTTTATCTAGCATGAAAAATCTATTCAAAGGACAATTCTACACTCAAGCACATTTAAGTTCACCGGGAAGTCAGAGATTCAAAAATAAAACATTCATTAAATTCTAACATGAGAAGTTATTAAAGCCCTCTAAGCTTTGAACAACGGAACAAACATTATCAAAAGGAATGAACATTTCTGCCCAAACCTCTTGGCGTGAACAAACAAAGAAACAACTGCCAGTCCGTCTGAGTAGAGCACACGCCATGCATATGTCTCAAATAATTGTATCACATTGTCTCACACTGTAATTTGGGAGTGAGGCCCTTTACTCTGAATTTTATATGAAATGGAAATATAACATAAGGGGAGGTGAGATGTAGAACCTTTGGTGAAAATAACAGAGTTCAACAAAAATTAAATGAATAAAATGTAATGAAAAACCTGCAATAGTATATTGATGTAAAGAGAGGATGAACCAACTGAGTGCAGGCAAGAGGAAGGGGATAAAGAGGAAAATAGTTTTATAACATATTACTATCTGCTATGTTTATGACCACTGGGAGAATAATATAAAATAGTACTGACTGTGCGCAGGCCGGAGCTCCATTGATCTCTATCAGCCACACCTTGAAGCTCTCGTCCACCATGAAGTCAAAGCCGAAGAGCTGGAAGCTCTGATAGGACAAGTGCTTAGTGCTGATGGCAGGCTCAATGCATGTCAGACAGCTCCTAGGAGACCAGACAGAACAACCATTGTCAGGTGTCTAAGTAGAGTATAGCCTAGTTGTTAAGCAAATACCTATAAATAGCTATTTGTAGAACTATGCAATGTTAACGGAAAGGCCATGTTTTCAAGGTCATCTGAAAAAACGGTATTTTTCCATCTCCTTCATTGAAGTAAACACAAACAGCATAGCACCGGAGGAGAAGTAGCTAGCTACCTTATGATCTGCTTGATCTGAGGTAAAATGTTGGTCTCCAGCACTATGTTGTGCATGCTCAGTAGGTACTGCCGGAACTCGTCGAAGAACATCTCGTTGCCCTCCTCGTAGCGGCCGTAGTTCTGCGAGTGCTCTTTCTGGATGCAGTGGTTGGTCAGGTGGCTGGTCACGTCCTGGAAGTTGGAGCTGTCGTAGGGCTCCGACGCCGTCCGCAGCACACCCTCCCGGTAAAGGTAGATGTTGTACTGATGGTCCACGAGCACCCAGCTCCTAAGAACACAACAACAAACCCACAGAGTCAGAGACTACTGGGCAAAACACCAGTGATAACATTTCTTATGTTGCTGTTCCTCAGACTGCCTGAACTGTGTATTATAAGCCTATATGGTCTTTGTTGGTAATAACTGTGTAATAAACACACACTAGATGTGCTATCACTCAAAAGTATTAGTATCAGCTGCTTACCTGATGTCAAATTTACGGTTGCCAGGTTGCAACAGTAGTGGTCTTTCTAGGTACTTCTGAATGACATGAACCTGCCCTTGATTATCAATGAACTCCAGCAATTGATTTGCATCATGGGATATCAAAATACCAGCACCTGGAACAAGAAAACCAACCCAAGCCTCATCTTTGTATACAATCCTAGTAATATATATTTAGCCAACAACGTGTTTGTAACTCCCTGGGTAGTCAAAGGAAACTTCCAAAAACATGAGGCATGCATTAGCTTAAAAAGAGAGCTTCTTTAGGCAGCAATACTATAATTTTCCCCCCATAATGCCCAATAACTACAGTATCTAGCAGTACCAGCTGTCAGTAGAAATCTGAGCCTTTAGACCTACCTTTTGCTCCAGAAGATGACTTGGCGATCCACACTGTTCCCTCTCCGCTTTCCTTCCTTGAGTGATAAGAGGCCAGGAAAACTTCTCTTTCATCCGTCTTGGGGTTACTTTTCAGGTGGCTCATGCCATTCTTTGCAGGAGCGATGGGAGTGTTGAGGTTAGTAGGATAGATGATGTAGGATTCAGGCAACCAGTTGCCGGGATCTGGAAGCTCCGGGCTAGTCTTGATTAACCTGCACAATGTAAAGAAAGCGGATATTGATGACATTTACAGTATCAGCATGAATGAGTGAAAATTACAGTATCAGAGTGAAAATTATTACACTGGAACCTTTTCAACTCGTCAAGGTTTGAAAATACCTACTTGACTAAAGATGCTTTACGGCACAACTTGTCTGCTCCTCTGTAATAATTCACCAGTTGCATCAGTCCAGGCTCATGACCTGTGGGAGGATAAACGAACACATGCAGAAAAAATAAAGATGAAAAAGTGATTACAATAGGGCGGTGTAAACACAATAAATCATTTAGCAATCATTTAGGTCCTTCTCCCTCTCTGAGGTCAAACATGGCATTTCAGTGTGTCCAATAAGGCCTACTTGTGGCATCTTCCACAGAGGATATGATTCAGTGACCAAGGATGCATGTGGATACAGTGATATCACTAAAATAAGGTTATAATTTTGTAACAAAGTAGCAATAGACTATAGGCTCCAGGATAGTCAAGGCCAAAATCTTGATTATAAATTGAGACAGGGGTGGGCCACAAATCAATAATTCAGGAACATTATCAGTGGTATAAGGGAGTAACTTTCTTTTTACTTTGCAGAGTGTAGATGTCCTGGTTTGACTCCCAATGAGACTAGGCGCATTGCAGTGAGTGCCAGATTAGCACGGGTGATGTGTATCAGCCTATTGGGCTCCATCAGAGGTCTACATCAGCTGTTTCGTACGACACAATTCATGGGTTTGGCTTGAGGGTGAGAACAAGAATACTGACATTCCAACAAAAGGCATTCAATGCAATGGAAGACCATTTACTGCGTATGCCAAAAGTGTTACTCTTACCAAGCCGTCCAAATGGCAGTCTGTTCCGTTCGCCCAACATCAAGTTGAATCGGGGATTATCCCTTTTCAGTCTCTTCCATTGTCCAGTAGCGACGAGAATTTTGGAAACTTCAGCATAAATAGTACTGTTGTCGTCTCGAGCGACAAATGTATACATCGGTAAATTCATATTTCCACAATATTATATGTGCAAAAACACACAAACGAATTATTTTCTTACTCTGGTGTAGCTAGTGAATTTAGCCGACTGGCTGGCAAGCGCTATCTCGCGGACGGCTGTGGCTGCAGCATGATGAGGCAGCCATGTCCAGGTTCTGAAAAAAGTGCTGCGCGTGTTCTTTTTGCTAGTGAATGTCTTTCACGATCACAAAAGTCCTACTTCATGTTGCATTACTCTGGTCTACATTTCACTCATGAGTCCCCAGATTAGGGTGTGACTACTTGGTCACACGTCTGGTTGAGATCCTCTGGCTTGCTAACTAGCTAGATTAGCTGTCAAAGCAGTAAATTGCTGTCGATTACTCTGGTAGCTGGATATATTTCTTCATTATTGTTCGTTTGACTGGTTATCTATGTAAACTGCTACTTTCCTAAAATTGTAGCTGTTTAATTTAAGGACAAAACGACCGAAGAGAAGAAATCCAAAATGTCCTGTAGCAGATCCTCTGTCGTCACATGGAACGTAGATAAACATGAACTGCAATGAGTTGTGGTTATTGTAGTCTTTTTATTCTGGTACCTCACTTGAGGTTATCACATTAAATACCTTCTGCAGAGTAAAAAGCAATAAGGTAAATGTTAATTTCTATTTCAATTTGTGTATAATGGAAATGTTGATGTACTGGCCTCCTGTAGCTCAGTTGGTAGAGCATGGCGCTTGCAACGCCAGGGTTGTGGGTTCGATTCCCAGGGGGTGCCACTATGGAAAATGTATGCACTCACTAACTAACTGTAAGTCGCTCTGGATAAGAGCGTCTGCTAAAATGACTAAAATGTAAAATGTCTGTATATCCCAGAAAGCATATATTATATTTTAAAAGGTAAGGGCAGAGATTTAAGCGTCAAAGGTTTTGATAGAGAAACATTTATTTTCGTCAAAGAGAAACCTCTATTTTGATTGTTTGAAATTGATACAGATGTAACCCCTGAACAAATGTCCAGATTGAATACATCTCGTTCACTTGAGAGCATCGGCCTAATAATGGTCAGTTGAACTTGCCTCCTATTCAATACCCAGCAGATTTTATCAATTTAATAATGAGACATAACACTATAAAGTTAAATGCAGAGCAAGCCTGTTTGGACACATATAGACCTGACTGACTAGACTAGACTGGACTGGTCTAGAGTATACTTGACTGGACTAATTGGCCTGGACTGACTGGACTTGAACGGAACTTATTGGACTGGATTTTCTGGACTGGCCCAGACTATCCCTAATTAAACTGAACATGTTTTAATTCCCAAAGTACAGTAGCTTTTTTTCTGGTATTAGCTATATCTTCACCACCAGATGGCATCATGCACTTGCATTGAGAGGGGATTGCTCAGGGTTAGGCCCAGTTCGATTTCGACCCTAGACTATAGTGCCTTACCTCTCCTACACAAGTGTTCACAGGAGGTGTGAACATAAGTCCCACCTAGTCCTCCGCATAGCTACATAAATCTACAAATCACTGCTTGGTTGAGGAACGAGCGTCGCGTAGGAGTGACGCCACCTGACGTATGCCAATGGTCATGTTGCAGCAGTGTGTAGGAGGGACTGATTCTGAGATTGTGAGAAGTGGGCAGGATGGCATGGGACAAAGGAGTATGTAGTATAGTTAGAAACGCTGTGCGTGTCGATCAGAAGTGTCTGGTGCGAGAGAGACAGGTTGAGGTTGCCAGAGTTATGCAGAAGGTGCATAAGGTGTCATATGCTGAGGCAGTGAGGAGAGTATAGGATGATGGGCCAAGGATGAGGGATCGGCTCCCTGTGAGTAGTAGGCCAATACAGAGTGATCCGAATAATATGTGCTTCAGTAAGTTTGGCTTCTTAGCGTTCATTGCCATTATTAACTATACATCAGATATGGAATGCAAATCACCGAAAAGAGATGTTTTGGTGGCAGCTGCAGAGTAGTACATGGCTGTACTGCAGAAGAGTTGCAAGGTATATTGAATGATATAGTCCAGTCCACTCAGGCTGCCAGCCTGGTGTAGGATCAGAGAGGGTCAAAGTAGTGTTTTTTTAAAGTAAGTGATAGTGCCATATGGGTGGGGAAATGGGATACCTAGTCAGTGTCTTCTGCATTTAACCCAACCCCTCTGAATCAGAGAGGTGCGGGGGGCTGCCTTAATCGACGTTCACGTCAACAGCGCCCAGGGAGCAGTTGTTGGTGGGGGTTAACTGCCTTGCTCAAGGGCAGAATGGCAGATTTTTCCACCTTGCTGGCTCAGGGATTTGAACCAGTGACCTTTAGGTTACTGGCCCAATGCTCTTAACCGCTAGGCTACCTGCCAACCCAGCAGGAACAAATCACAGAGAATAGCTGTGGGGGTGGCAGCTGCAGAGATGTACTTGGGTGTACAAGATTTTACTGCAGAAGAGTTACAAGCTGTGTTGAGCGATAGTGTCCCGTCCTCCCAGGCTGCCGGCCTGGTGTAGGATCAGTTAGGGCCAAGTAGTGGAATAGTGGTGAGGTTTTTAATGGGTGTAGGGTTAGTTGGTAGGGCAATTTTTCTATGGAGTGTAATGAACTCACTGTCCAGAAGACTAGATGGAAACACACCATATCCGGCTAACTGATGCCGTAGAGAAAGAGATAGGTGAAGTTAAACTAGCTTGGTTAATTGGAAATGTTAGATTGCTAATTTTTTGTGGTAGCCAGGCTCAGCAAGGGAAGATTCTGCTAATGGAAAATCTTTGTGGGAAGAAGACTAAAAGCCATGTAGCTGGTGCTTATGCTAAGTTGGGGGGAGTCATCACTGGGGTCCCAATATCTATGTCCATAGATGATATTGAAGAAAATCTGACGGGAGGCAGAGTGATTGAGGCCAAAATGTTGATCAGTAGGAAAGAGGGTCAAAGAAGTGAAAGCTTATCAGGGATTCTGAGGTTTGAGAAAGTTTTGTTGTAAAAAGTACAGATAGGATTCCTTAGTTTCAATGTTAGAGAATTTGTCCCATATGCACTGCAATGTTTTAGATGCCAAAGAATAGGACATGTGGCTGCTCAGTGTAAAAGAAAGAAAAGATGTGTGGAGGAGAACATTATTACGGTGAATGTGGAAGCAATGTGAAGGTTAAGTGCTGTAATTGTGGAGGTGACAACAGTGCATCATTTGGTGGATGCCAGGTGCAGAGAGAGGCTGGAGAGGCTCAGAGATATAGGATCAGTCATGATGTATCATATGCAGAGGCTGTAAGACAGATTGGTAGAACTACAGTGCAGACTGATGGAGCTTACATGGATGTTCCTGTAGTAAGTGGACCTACTGTCGGGGTTGGTGCTTCTGCTGGTCCTGGCATGGTTTCGAGGCCTGTTCAGAAATCTTGCATGAATGTGCGGTGTCAAAGGACCCTTTGATAATGAATAAAGTTGACTTCATAGCTTTTATTGGTAAGGTTATCAATACGATTTGGGTTGTGGAAAGCAGAAATGCCAGGTTGAAGGTTATTGTGGCGACGGCAAAATAGATATTGGGGGTAACAGATGTTACTGTTGAAATGGTTGTTAGACATGCTGAACAATCCTAAGGGTGGAGTGTTTCAGCATGATATAGATAACGTTTAATGTGGTTGGGGAGTTAGTAGGGATTTATTTGGATTAGAATTTTATTTTCATGGTAGTATAGAATTGGGCAAATCATGATTGATCGTACATTCCAAAACAGTTGGTGGCAGCATGCACTTTAACGTTTGTTTGGGGTCTGCCATGATATCATAGAAGAAGAAGAAGATGAAGCAGAAGCAGAAGAAGAAGAAAAAAGGTCACCTGACATACCCAAAAACAACATTGGGGTGAGTTCAAAGGGTTGAACATTTTTGTACTTCCAGTTGCGAATGTAATATTGATATAACCACTTTTCCACGGTGCAAAAAGTTGTGTTCTCCATTTCCCAAGCTACAACTGTTTGTTACTTATCTGTGGTAAGTCGAGATCAGTCTAACACGCCAGTTTCAGTAGGTTAGTAGCTAAGTCAACTAACTACCTTGTATCTTGCTAGTTTAGGTACTAGTTAGCTAAACCTAGTCTAGGAACAGTGAGCTAACGTTAGCTAACAATGGAGTCCCGTTTCCATGGCATTGGAGACCCGGGCCAGCGCAGCCCATTTTGCCGAGAAAATGAGCCCCCTAAATGTAGGCTACTATTGTTGTCATTTGTGTTCCAGGTCGTCTTTTTTCAGTCGCGCGGCACTTATCCAGGCGTTGTTATGAAAACATGTGCAGCGCGAGTGAAAAAAGACAACCTGGTACACAAATGACAACAGTAATTTAGTGGACACATAACGTTTGCTAGCTTCTGCCAAAGGCTTGGAGCCGATGCTAAGGTGTACATATTTGACTCTACGTTCTTTCACTTATCGGTATGTTCATAATCCCAACTGGAGTTGGGAAATATGCCATAGCTAGCTATGTAATTTAGTCTTGACATTGAATAAGTGAAGAAGTTATAATGTGATGATCTCTTCAACACAACTTACTAAGGCTCATGGAATTTATAAAATGAGTGTGTGTGTATTATTGTTTGCTTGGCTGCTTCTTGGGTCATGCATTTTTTAATGTCTCCTGTCCCCCATTCCTCAAACAGGCGGGAGCACGCCAGGCATGAGTGGTGCACACCTGGGCGAGTGGCAGAGGAGGTCCTTTGACATTTCATCTGGCACCTGCACACCTGAACAGACGGCAGACGCCTATCGGGCACACATCCTCGCCATACAATATGCATGGGCGAGCGCCCAGCTCTCTCAGGCCGGCATTGGCAGCCTGCTCAGGACCTACTCGGAGCGCTATGCCGCAGTGCTGGACTCGGACGAACCTCGCACGGGGCTTAACAACTATGCAGAGAGCGTACTGAACCTGGCCTGCAGTCAGAGAAACCACAGCGACAAATGGGAGTCGTCCCTGACAACTGCGAGTGTGCTGGAGCTGCCGTGCGTGCAGAAGATGATTCAGGCTGGGACAGGGGGTGGAAAGTCCCTTGTGGCACCTGCAGATGTTAACATCTTCGTTGGACAAGAGAGCAGAGGCAGCTCCCTTTCTGTTGTTCCCTCCACTGGACTCGAAGCTGTAGAGCCTCCATTCAAACCATCAGGACCCCCATCATGGTCCAAGGCTGAGGGCAACAGCACTTTCAGCATTTTACATAGTGCTACAGCAGAAAGACCAAGAGGCCCTGAGGGAGTCCCCAGCCACCCCCATTCCTCTGCTGGCCCCTTGGCACGGGCTCAGTCTCTGTTTTGCCAGCACTCCTCAGCTCCACCACAACCAAACCCAGCCCCTGCAGGTCACCAGTCTGTCTTCTTCAACTCTAACCCCTCCAAGAGGAAGACGTTCTACAACTCCGGTGGAGAAAATGGCAGAGGGGGGGCATCTGAAGGCCAGGCAAGGCAAGACCCACGCGGTGGTGGCACTAACTTCAAAACGGCAAAGGAGCAGTTTATTGTTGATCAGCAGAAAAAGCACTCCCACCAGTCCCAGAGAGCCCAGCAGCCCCCTGGGATGGCAGCTGCCATCGGGGGTGCCACTAAGAAGTCACTGGGGGCCAACAGGCCACGGGGGACATTTTCCAAATTTGTGTCCCCCATGCCGAGGCCGGAGGACAAAGAGAGTGGGGTCGGTAGCAGCAATGCTCAGGAGACTCAGCCAGTGGACGAGCGTCTGAAAAACTTTGAGCCCAAGATCATTGAACTGATCATCAGTGAAATTATGGACCATGGACCGCCCGTAGCCTGGGACGACATCGCTGGCCTGGAGTTTGCAAAGGCCACCATCAAGGAGATTGTGGTGTGGCCTATGCTCCGGCCTGACATCTTCACTGGCCTCCGTGGTCCACCCAAAGGCATCCTCCTATTCGGGCCCCCGGGCACAGGAAAAACTCTGATCGGGAAGTGCATCGCTTGCCAGTCAGGGGCCACCTTCTTCAGCATCAGCGCCTCATCTCTCACCTCAAAGTGGGTGGGGGAGGGAGAGAAAATGGTTAGAGCACTCTTCGCCATCGCCCGCTGCCATCAGCCAGCTGTTATCTTCATCGACGAGATTGACTCTCTTCTGTCCCAGCGTACGGACGGGGAGCACGACTCATCCCGACGGATAAAGACAGAGTTCTTGGTTCAGCTGGATGGGGCGGCCACCTCTGCCGACGACCGCGTCCTGGTGGTAGGGGCCACCAACCGCCCCCAGGAGATAGACGAAGCGGCCAGGCGCCGCCTTGCCAAGCGCCTCTACATCCCCCTCCCCGAGGCTGCCGCACGGCGGCAGATAGTCTCTCATCTCATGGCCCGCGAGAAGAGCCAGCTGGGAGAGGACGAGCTGGAGACGGTGGTCACAGGAACGGAGGGATTTTCTGGGGCTGATATGACGGGGCTGTGCCGGGAGGCAGCGCTAGGCCCCATCCGGAGCATCCAGCTCTGTGACATTGCCTCCATCACCCCCGACCAGGTGCGGCCCATCCTCCACTGTGACTTCCAGGAGGCCCTGAGGACGGTGAGGCCCAGCGTCTCAGCCAAAGACCTGGAGCTCTATGAGGAGTGGAACAAGACTTTTGGTTGTGGTCGTTGATCAGGGCAACAGTATGGACACATTACAAATATCAGCCTATATTTAACATTTACTGCTGTTGGGGATAGATTTAATTTGTTATGTTCAGTAAATAAACTTGCATTTAAAAATCTTAGATTTCCCGCAACACTCTACCATAAGATGAGACTATTTTAATATTCTTTCTGAATGTTAACTTGATTTTTCACTTACTGATCCATGGCACAGTATATTTATTCCCAAATATAGGCTATTTGTTTTTCTACGCTTGGATTCACTAAATAAGATGTTGGTGTAAGTAATATGTTCTTAATAAAGTTGCTAAATGTTTTCTATGGTAATGCATTGCAAATAGGTTTTCCTTTGTAACACAGAGAGGAAATGTGGCAAAGTGTTTTTCTGAGGATTGGTTATGGGGTCATGTGGTAATATGTTCCTTTTTCACGCCATTAGCCACCTGTTTATCCAAAGTAGAGGAATACAGGCCTACATCAGCTACCAGTTTCTCATCATCAACTCAAGGTTAGATAAAGGCCCAATGCAGCCATTTTTATCTCAATATCAAATCATTTCTGGGTAAAAATTAAGTACCTTACTGTGATTCGTTTTCAATTAAAATGGTCAAAAAGAAACAAATAGCTTATCAAATAGCAATTTCTCAAGTAAGAATTTAGCTAGGACTGTCAGGTTTTATATATATATATATATATATATATATATATATATATATATATTTCCACACTATGGGGTTGGAATAATACTGTGAAAATTATGATAATGCCCTTTGTACAATGTACAAAACCGAAAGTAAAAGACGCAGAAACGAAACTTAAGAATGAGAAGCATAGAAATAGCGCACATGGAACAGATCTACCGCTTCTTAGAATTGCTTTCAATGATCTATGTGAATCTGGTCAGGTCGCCCAAAAAGTTACATATTGCAGCTTTAATAGACTAATAACAAAGAGCGTTTCAAACCTCTGGCAATAACAGCTCGTTTTCAGGTTACAGATCCCTCCCATTAGGCTCATACAATTAGGCCCCTCGCTGAAACAACTCTCAGACAGACCTAGCTAAATTCTTGCTTAAGAAATTGCTCTTTGCTAAGAAGCATTTTTTCTCTCCTTTTTGACAATTTTCATTGGAAAAAAAGAACAGTAAGGTAACGGCTGCAAGGGGCCTTTAACTGATGGATGTGCCAACCATGGCTGGGGAAGTTGGCTAATGCTGAGAGGATCCTGGTCTCATGATAAGGCTTGCCCACAGATCTGCCTTGTATTGCCTTTCTTCCTGCCACAGTGACCATGTGCTATTAAGCTAGTACTTGACAAAACAGGAAAACTGTAATTTAATGTTTGTGTAAGAATCCATATTTTTAAAGATCCCAAAACAAGTACTTTTGGTATCCTGCTCACCTCACGAAGCTATTCAGTCAGGTTTCACCAAATGCAAGACTGTCCTCCCCTTAAAACCACAACTTTTTTCATTCTCTGCCAATTCTTGGTACTCCAGATGCACAAGGAGTCAACAGAGTTTTTGAATGTAGTTGATCTCCTTTTAAGTTGAACTCCTTTCTGGACATAGAGTGCCGCTAATCGAGAAGGAGACGATTATAGATTGTGCACACATGAAATGAAATTGTAATGTAATTTTCATGAAACAATCTTTGAAAAACTGGAAGACCATGAAAAAAGTATTTTCATGTATTTTTCATATTTTGTCAAGTTGCTGATTAATATTTCAGAGTTCTGGGGTTGGCTTCAGTATTGAAACTTTGTAAAATTAGCCAGCAATGCAAGTACTGAGCACATCCCAGAGGGCTGGTGGAAGCTTGTCAGAACAGGGGGGCTCCCCACAGCTGGACCGGGCCAGATGCACAGAATTCCTCTGGTGCTGGCAGATCTAGCCACTTGACACCAAGACTAATGTTGTCATCTTCTACCGTCATGTATCTTTTACACCTTATGTTATATGTCTAGGAATGTTGGGTTGAGTTTTGGCTTTGAATTGAAGTTTAACAGTACTAGGCTACAAAGGAAAATGACCCCTGTCAAGATGATATAAGATTATGTACTGTAGATAAATATTTCCTAAGTATTATTTTAGTTGCTGACTGCCAAATAGGCCCATATATCCATTTTTCACAGTATTATGCCCTTTCATTCGTCCCAGTGAGTTATGATCACGGTCACCCACGGTCTGCGCATGTAATCTAAACCTGTGAGGACCAGTGTAACATTTGCAGTCAATGGATAAATGCCTTTCCAACCATTCGTAAGATTAACAGATATGACTTGTGGGCATGTTAAATTGTGATGCTTTTTTCCATGATCTGTTACTCTGGACATCATCTGGCATGGTCAAATAGGATGCTCCCTAATGGAATAGTTCACAGATTCTTAAATGGTAAAGTAGGCCTATTTCAGTAAACTGTCCGAAAGGGGAAGTGACATTTGGGATTCTGGCAGGGGGAGAGTTTGTTGGCCAGATTATCCTTCTTATGCAAATGTCCTCCCTCCCCTGTTAGGTCCCAGTGAAGCGTGGAGGGAGCCTCGGCGCTGCCCACAGCTGCTTCCCATTTCTGCAGAATCACATAGTAGCCATCTGGAAGGACACTGTTGTCGCTGTACAGCCCTGATGAGCTCCTCTGCCGGGCCTCGCCTCTCTCTCCAGGAAGCTAGGCCTGGTCCTCTGAGCCCTGGCCCTAGCCTCATGCTCCACTGCCTCATCCTCAGTGTGCTAGCTAGCTAGTTGTCCACTCTGTTGTTCTGTGTGTCCTCCTGGCAATATATTTCACTCTTCTAGGTTATATCTGTGCTATTCACCCACATCTTCTCTGTGGCCTGGCATTCCTTTCTCTGGTCCTCTGTGTGTTAGCACCCCCCCCCCCCCCCCCCCCGTTATTTGCCCCCTGGTTTCGGTGTGCTACAGTGGATTTTTGCTCCCTGCTTTTCTTTGTACTGGCAGTCATTCTGTCTGGTTCTGTGTGTAAGCACTCTTTTCTCTCAGGTTATCTCTGTTCTGGACCTCTGTTGTCCAGTGTTCAGTGCCCTGCCTGAATTCTGAGCCTTACTGCTCTATTGGTAGATATTTTAAACTATAGTAAATTACCTAATAAAATCCTCTGTCCTTCAAGCCGTAGTGTACCAGTGCTTGGTGATCATGTGGTTTCATTATATCATTCATATATTTATTTTTAACTTGATAGTAAGGACACTTAAGCAAACCCATGTTGGAGCTAAAAGTCATGAAAAGTATCTAATGTGTACTTTAAATACAATAAGCATTCATTTATTCAGCATTAATTAAGTTGGCTGCAATGTTTTTATGTTGAATAAATAAAATCTATTTTCACCAGGAATATGAATGTCAATCATTCAGTCTGTTTTTCCTTGACAAGTAGCGGCTACATTTTGAATGACTGGCACATTGTCAACTTAACGATTTAGGTACGTTTGAGAAAGTGCAATTACATTTCTATATTTCTATCAATTTATCCATTTGGTTATCATGGCAGTAGGGTTTGGTAATGAAAGTATTGAGAGGGTTGCTCACTCACATGTTTTGGGTCATGTACTGTACGTCTAGTTTTGCCTATAGGCTATTCTCAATGAGTGAAATAATAATAATAATAATAAGCCATTTAGCAGACGCTTTTATCCAAAGCGACTTACAGTCATGTGTGCATACATTTTTACGTATGGGTGGTCCCGGGGATATATAACTGTGCCAGATGTTGCACCCTAATGATTCTGAATTGCTTTTCATAACTATAATTGATTTTCATTAAAATATCCAGGGGTAGAAATGGAATAGTGGAAAAGTTTGTTAATTTGCTATGGACATGGGTCCAGTGGAAAAATACAGTGCATCCTCCATTTTACCTGCCACTGGTGAATTTTACTATGAAAAAATAACAAATATCAGTATTATTATTGTGTATGTAAAATATCCTTTATTGATATTTGCAAGCATGATATGAGTAAAGTTACTTTAAAAGTTCAGTCCAAATTGAGAGTAACATTTTCTCTGCCACTGAGGTAAAAAGCTGGCACAAAACAGAATACCATCCATACTTTTATCAAACAAAAATATTTTTCAGTAAATAACACTCGAGTTCAGTCATTTATTCAACTCAAATCCATCTATCACATTTGATTAATGGTAGGGAATGTTTGAACTGAACAAATCAAACATATAATAAATTACAAAAAGAAATACATGCATGTGTAAACAGCATAAATAATGTATAAAAAGTTAATATAAAAAGAACAAGAGGTTTAAAACAAACTGTTACATTTAAATACAATAAGGAGCCAAATCTCCTTGGGGGATTCAAATTGATTATTATTGTGGTTTTGATTGTATTCTCCTAAACCCATATGAATTTGCTTGAGGTGCAAATATTTTTGAATCAAGAATTACATTTTCATTGTTAAACTATTTATACCATGGCATTGTTGAATACTCGTTTCTGATTGGCTTGAAGGGCATTCTCAGCAATAAAGCCTGAGGTGGTGTGTTAATACCATGGCTAAGGGCTGTATCCAGGCACTCCGCGTTGCGTCTTGCGTAAGAACAGCCCTTAGCCGTGGTATATTGGCCATATATCACAAACCCCCAAGGTGCCTTATTGCTATTATAAACTAGTTACCAACGTAAATGTTTTGTCATGCCCGTGGTATACGGTATGATATACCATGGCTGTCAGCCAATCAGCATTCAGGGTTTGAACCATCCAGTTTATAATTCCCTTTATAAACTGGGTGGTTCGAGCCCTGAATGCTGATTGGCTGAAAGCCGTGGTATATCACAGGTATGACAAAATATTTATTGTTACTGTTCTAATTACATTGGTAACCAGTTTATAATAGCAATAAGGCACCTCAGGGGTTGTGGTATATTGGCCAAATACAGTGGATATAAAAAGTCTACACACCCCTGTTAAAATGCCAGGTTTTTGTGATGTAAAAGAATGAGACAAAGATAAATCATGTCAGAACTTTTTCCACCTTTAATGTGACCTATAATGTGAACAATTCAATTGAAAAACAAACTGAAATCTTCGAGGGGGGAAAAATGAAAAATAAAAACCTTCCAATAACCTGGTTGCATAAGTGTGCACACCCTCTTATAACTGGGGATGTGGCTGTGTTCAGAATTAACCAATCACATTCAAACTCATGTTAAATAGAAGTCATTACACACCTGCCATCATTTAAAGTGACTCTGATTAATCACAAATAAAGTTCAGCTGTTCTAATAGGATTTTCCTGTCATTTTCTTAGTTGTATCTCAGAGCAAAAGCCATGGTCTGCAGAGAGCTTCCAAGGCATCAGAGGGATCTCATTGTTGAAAGATATCAGTCAGTGAAGACAGTCATCATCAAGTGGAGAAAATATGGGACAGAGACATTACCAAGAACTGGACGTCCCTCCAAAATGTATGAAAAGACGAGAAGAAATCTGGTCAGGGAGGCTTCCAAGAGGCCTACAGCAACATTGAAGGAACTGCAGGAATTTCTGGCAAATACTGGCTGTGTGCTACATGTGACAACAATCTCCCGTATTCTTCATATGAATGGGCTATGGGGTAGGGTGGCAAGACGGAAGCCTTTTCTTACAAAGAAAAATATCCAAGCCCGGCTGAAGTTTGCAAAAACAAACATCAAGTCCCCCAAAAGCACGTGGGAAAATGTGTTATGGTCTGATGAAACCAAGGTTGAACGTTTTGGCCATAATTCCAAAAGGTATGTTTGGCGCAAAAACAACACCTCACATCACCTAAAGAACACCATACCCACAGTGAAGCATGGTGGTGGCAGCATCATGTTTTGGGGCTGTTTTTCTTCAGCTGGAACCGGGGCCTTAGTCAGGGTGGAGGGAATTATGAACAGTTCCAAATACCAGGCAATTTTGGCACAAAACCTTCAGGCTTCCGTTAGAAAGCTGAAGATCAAGAGGAAGTTCACCTTTCAGCACGACAACGACCCAAAGCACACATCCACAAAAGCCTGGCTTCACCAGAAGAAGATTAACGTTTTGGAATGGCCCAGCCAGAGCCCAGACCTGAATCCAATTTAACATCTCTGGGGTGATCTGAAGAGGGCTGTGCACAGGAGATGTCCTCGCAATCTGACAGATTTGGAGCGCTTTTGCAAAGAAGAGTGGGCAAATATTGCCACATCAAGATGTGCCATGCTAATAGACTACTACCCCAAAAAGACTGAGTGCTGTAATAAAATCAAAAGATGCTTCAACAAAGTATTAGTTTAAGGGTGTGCACACTTATGCAACCAGGTTATTGTAAGGTTTTTATTTTTCCCCCTCGAAGATTTCAGTTTGTTTTTCTATTGAATTGTTCACATTATAGGTCACATTAAAGGTGGAAAAAGTTCTGACATGATTTATCTTTGTCTCATTCTTTTACATCACAAAAACCTGCCATTTTAACAGGGGTGTGTAGACTTTTTATATCCACTGTACCACACCCCCTCGGGCCTGTTATTTTTTATTGCTTAAATAATGCACGGTATATTGCTTATGGCTATAGTTCATTCTATAGTTCATTCTTACATGTTTTGTTTGAGCTGCTTTTGAAAGCAAAAGTCTAATTGAAAACATTATTGGTATTGTTGAATTCGATTTTCATAATGGCAAGCTAGGACTGATGGTTTGGTTAGCTAAACAAGCAAGTCTGTTTGTTTGGTTACCACAGAAACTACTGTAGTTATAGTAAACATCTTTACCTGCAAAGTAACACATTTGTAGCGGCAAATGTGCTAAATTATAGCCATGGTGTAAAAGGGATAATCAACTCGGTGCTCTATGCGTTCTCTGGATAATAATGCAACTCAGTGGAAGGTTTAGTTCCACTCTACCGCGTTGTGGAACATACCTTCCACATCGTTCATTATTTTCCATAGAACGCGTAGCCCCTTGTTGATTATCCCTTACATAAATGTCAAGCAATACCTTGCCATTTAAAAGCCAACTTTATTGGATGATTGTATTCTTTAGAATAAAATATACAGATATTCCTCCAGGTAGGCTATCAGAAAACAGAGACATTTATTTAATGTATACAGACATCAATGACTTAAAACTATACAGTATGTGACACATGATACTTACTGCTGAGGCACAATAATATTTTTAGTTGTTTGTTTTGTTCACTGAACAGTTATTTTTAAGACCTTTTATTTTCTATAAAGCAGATGGAAGAATAGTTTCCCTTTTCCTCCTGAACATGTGAAATTAACATAAATTAGTCTTCTTCGTTCTTCAAACACACAATTTCTTGACAATGTATACAAATTGCCACTTTCAGAGAGCAAGTGTGTGTGTTTGTGTGTGTGTGTGTGTGTTAGTACATGTACATGTGTGTGTTCAGTGGGCCACTCAGTAGCGATGCTCCCCTCGGGTCATGTGTGACGAAAACTCATATCGGTCCTGACTGTGGTAGCCACAGAGGTTACACTCGAAAGGGTCTCGGAAGCCGTGGCAGCCCATGTGGATAGTGTACATCACATGGTCTAGGAAGAGGATGCGACAGTGTTCACAGCAATATGCCCTCAACTGCTCCCCCTCTCCACTCAGCACCTTGAACCCCTCTGAGGCCATCTCGATGCTGGCCCGCATGGCCTCGTTCTGCCGCTGCTGCTCCTCCTTCACCAGGGGCAGCACGCCATTACGTACCCCAGACGTGATGTGGTTGGTCAGGTAGATGAGGCTCGATGCCCTGCCACCTGCCCTCTCTTCATTGTTGCTCTCCGTGTCGGTGGAATCCTGGCCACTGTGGCTGGGGGAGCCATCCCTCTCGCTGGAGGCAGATTTGGACTTGGCGAGCAGCAGCAAGTTCTCGGCTGCGCTGTCCTTGGCTGACAGGCCGTGGCCCCCCGCCCCTTGGCCCTCTGGAGGGGGCTTGTGGAGGGGATAAATGGAGCCAATAACCCCCACGTCAGAGGAGGTTGGGGAGGTCTGGATGAGAGGTCGCAGGGACTCAGCACCCAGGTAGCTGATGGCGCTGTTGATGGCCTGGTCGATGACATGAGGCTGCATCAGTTCCCCCGGGTTGCCCTCGAAGGAGAGGTCGGCGAGACGCTTCTCACCTGAGGATTAGAAAGGGAAAACCGATGAATACCAATGTTACAATTCAAATAGAAAATCCTCAGATTCCTGACATCAAACATTACAAGCACTAATGTTTCCCTGTAGTTCTAGGGGTCCATTTATTGGTCACAATTTTACTGATTCTCTCCTTATTTAGAGTTATTTGCATTGTTCTCCTTAGTGTCTCATGGCTGATTACTTTGTTTTAGTTGTTGTTATTTCTGACATGCTTTGTCAATATATTCTTATTAATATATTTAATTAATTTAATTTAAGTAAGTCATCTTAAAATAAATGTATAATACACAAAGCTTTAGAATGAAGTTGAAATCAATGGAAATATTATGTTTGATCAACTTAAATAAATCTCAAACATTGTTATAATGATAGACAGATTCTAGGCACAAGGGTGATCATGCTGAATATTAATGTTAATTAATAATTAATTAATTAATTAATGCTGTTTTATTAAATAGCCTATTCTGCAGCGCAAAGGTGGCAAATCAGAATGCATCAAACTGAAATACGCAATTCTCACATTTGGAACCTAAGTCGTGTGCTTTGCAGTTAAAGCAATGTTGGTTGGTATACAAAGGAAGCAGACTTTCTCCCTTACCTACAAATTTCTGTGGCATAGTGCTCTTACGTTTGGCAACATTATTAGCTAGTCTGTCTAGCACCAAGGCTCTCTCAGATCCCGTCTGGCTTAAGTCTTCCCTCTGCTCATTCTGGTTGCTTTCTTCCTTTACTACTGGAAAGCAAGACAGAGAAGTAGGTTTCAGAACCAAAGTAGTAAAATCTGACCTGATAAAATTTAGAATTACTGTATAACAGGATCTTGCTAATATTGGCTTAAGCATCCCTGAAAGTAGATTTCTTACAGGGCGCAATGATGAGGATGCTTTTATTGACAGACAGTTGGTATACAGTGCCTTCAGAAAGTATCCATACCACTTGACTTATTCCACATGTTGTTGTGTTACAGCCTGAATTCAAAATTGATTAAATAGATTTTGTCTCTCACCTATCTACACAGAATACCCCATAATGACAAAGTGAAAATATGTTTTTAGAGATTTTTGCAAATGTATTGAAAATGAAATACAGAAATATCAAATTTACTCACACCCCTGAGTTAACACATGTTAGAATCACATTTGGCAGCGATTACAGCTGTGAGTCTTTCTGGATCAGTCTCTAAGAGCTTTGCACACCTGGTTCGTACAATATTTCCACATTATTATTTTTTAAATTCGTCAAGCTCTGTCAAATTGGTTGTTGATCATTACTAAGCCATTTTCAAGTCTTGCCATAGATTTTCAAGCCGATTTAAGTCAGAACTGTAACTAGGTCACTCAGGAAATTTCAATGTCACCTTGGTAAGCAACTCTAGTGTGTATTTGGCCCTATGTTTTAGATTATTGTCCTGCTGAAAGGTGAATTTGTCTCCCGGTGTCTGTTGGAAAGCAGACTGAACCAGGTTTTCCTCTAGGATTTTGCCTGTGCTTAGCTCTTATCCATTTCTTTTGATCCTAAAAATCCTCCCTAGTCCTTGCAGATGACAAGCATACCCATAACATGATGCAGCCACCACAATGCTTGAAAATATGAAGAGTGGTACTCAGTAATGTGTTGTGTTTGATTTGCCCCAAACATAACGCTTTGTATATTTAGGACATAAAGTTAATTTCTTTGCCACATTTCTTACAGTTTTACTTTAGTGCCTTTAGAATATTTTTATTTTCACTGTTGTTGCTCCATCCTCAGTTTTCTCCTTTCAAATCAAATTTTATTGGCCGCATACACATATTTAGCAGATGTTATTGCGGGTGTAGCAAAATGCTTGTGTTCCTAGATCCAACAGTGCAGTAATATCTAACAATTCACAAAAATACACACAAATCTAAAAAGTAAAAGAATGGAATTAAGAGTATAAATATATAAATATGCTGTATATATAGTGCATTCAGAAAGTATTCAGACCCCTTCACTTTTTCCACATTTTGTTACATTACAGCCTTACTCTAAAATGGATACAATTATTTTTTCCCCTCATCATCTACACACAATACCCCATAATGAAAAAGCAAAAACTGAAATATTACATTTACATAAGGCTTCAGACCCTTTACTCAGAACTTTGTTGAAGCACCTTTGGCAGCGATTACAGCCTCAAGTTTTATTTGGTATGACGTTACAAGCTTCGCACACCTGTATTTGGGGAGTTTCACCCATTCTTCTCTGCAGATCGTCTCAAGCTCTGTCAGGTTGGATGGGGAGCGTCGCTGCACAGCTATTTTCAGGTCTCTCCAGAGATGTTCGATCGGGTTCAAGTCTGGGCTCTGGCTGGGCCGCTCAAGGACATTCAGAGACTTGTCCCGAAGCCACTCCTGCTTTGTCTTGGCTCTGAGCTTAGGGTCATTGTCCTGTTGGAAGGTGAACCTTCGCCCAAGTCTGAGGTCCTGAGCGCTCTGGAACAGGTTTTCATCAAGGATCTCTCTGTACTTTGCTCCGTTCATCTTTCCCTCAATCCTGACTAGTCTCCCAGTCCCTGCCGCTGAAAAACCTCCCCACAGCATGATGCTGCCACCACGTGCTTCACCGTAGGGATGGTGCCAGGTTTCCTCCAGACGTGATGCTTGGCATTCAGGCCAAAGAGTTCAATCTTGCTTTCATCAGACCAAAGAATCTTGTTTCTCATGGTCTGAGAGTCCTTTAGGCTGTCATGTGCCTTTTACTGAGGAGTGGCTTTCGTCTGGCTACTCTACCATAAAGGCCTGATTGGTGGAGTGCTGCAGAAATGGTAGTCCTTCTGGAAGGTTCTCCCATCTCCACAGAGGATATCTGGAGCATTGTCAAAGTGACCATTGGGTTCTTGGTCACCTCCCTGACCAAGGCCCTTCTCCCCCCGATTGATCAGTTTGGCCGGGAGGCCAGCTCGAGGAAGAGTCTTGGTGGCTCCAAACTTCTTTCATTTAAGAATGATGGAGGCTACTGTGTTCTTGGGGACCTTCAATGCTGTAGACATGTTTTGGTAACCTTCCCCAGATCTGTGCCTCGACACAATCCTGTCTCAGAGCTCTACGGACAATTCCTTCGACCTCATGGCTTGGTTTTTGCTCTGACATGCACTGTCAACTGAGGGACCTTATATAGACAGGTGTGTGCCTTTCCAAAACATGTCCAATCAATTGAATTGACCACAGGTGGACTCCAATCAAGTTGTAGAAACATATCAAGGATGATCAATGGAAACAGGATGCACCTGAGCTCAATTTCGAGTCTCAGAGTAAAAGGGTCTGAATACTTACACTACCGTTCAAAAGTTTGGGGTCACATGAAATGAGTTTATGGGAAATATAGCAAAATGAATCGGAAATGTAGTCAATGACAAGGTTAGAAACAATTATTTTTTATTGAAATAATAATTGTGTCCTTCAAACTGTGCTTTCGTCAAAGAATCCTCCATTTGCAGCAATTACAGCCTTGCAGACCTTTGTATTCTAGTTGTCAATTTCTTGAGGTAATCTGAAGATATTTCACCCCATGCTTCCTGAAGCACCTCCCACAAGTTGGATTGGCTTGATGTGTACATCTTACGTACCATACGGTCAAGCTGCTCCCACAACAGCTCAAGAGGGTTGAGATCCGGTGACTGTGCTGGCCACTCAATTATAGACAGAATACTAGCTAACTGCTTCTTCCCTAAATAGTTATTGCATAGTTTGGAGCTGTGCTTTGGGTCATTGTCCTGTTGTAGGAGGAAATTGGCTCCAATCAAGCGCCGTCCACAGGGTATGTCATGGCGTTGCAAAATGGAGTGATAGCCTTCCTTCTTCAAGATCCCTTTTAACCTGTACAAATCTCCCACTTTACTACCATCAAAGCACCCCCAGACCATCACATTGCCTCCACCATGCTTGACAGATGGCATCAAGCACTCCTTCAGCAGCTTTTAATTTGGTCTGCGTCTCACAAATGTTCTTCTTTGTGATCCGAACACCTCAAACTTCGATTCGTCTGTCCATAACACTTTTTTCCAATCTTCCTCTGTCCACTGTCTGTGTTCTTTTGCCCATCTTAATATTTTATTTTTATTGGCCAGCCTGAGATATGGCTTTTTCTTTGCAACTCTGCCTAGAAGGTCAGCATCCCGGAGTCGCCTCTTCACTGTTGACGTTGAGACTGGTGTTTTGCAAGTACTATTTAATGAAGCTGCCAGTTGAGGACCTGTGAGGCGTCTGTTTCTCAGTTGTGCACCGGGGCCTCCCACTCCTCTTTCTATTCTGGTTAGAGCCAGTTTGCGCTGTTCTGTGAAGGGAGTGGTACACGGCGTTGCACGAGATCTTCAGTTTCTTGGCAATTTCTCGCATGGAATAGCTTTCATTTGTCAGAACAAGAATAGACTGATGAGTTTCAGAAGAAAGTTATTTGTTTCTGGCCATTTTGAGCCTGTAATCGAACCCACAATTGCTGATGCTCCAGATACTTCTTTAATCAGCACAACAGTTTTTAGCTGTGCTAATATAATTACAAAAGGGTTTTCTAATGATCAATTAGCCTTTTAAAATTATAAACTTGGATTAGCAAACACAACATGCCATTGGAACACAGGACTGATGGTTGCTGATAATGGGCCTCTATACGCCTATGTAGATATTCCATAAAAAATCTGCCGTTTCCAGCTACAATAGCCATTTACAACATTAACAATGTCTACACTGTATTTCTGATCAATTTGATGTTATTTTAATGGACAAAAAAATTGCTTTTGTTTCGAAAACAAGGACATTTCTAAGTGACCCCAAACTTTTGAACGGTAGTGTATGTAAATAAAAATTTGCAAACATTTCTGAAAACCTGTTTTTGCTTTGTTATTATGGGGTACTGTGTGTAGATTGATGAGGATTCTTAAAAAAAAATCAATTTTAGAATAAGGCTGTAATGTAACAAAATGTGGAAAAAGTGAAGGGGTCTGAATACTTTCCGAATGCACTGTATATGTGTGTGTGATGGGATGTATAGATAATATGGACAGTATATGGATAGAACATGTAGTACTGTATATCTGAAGAATGGTATATCACAGCCATTAAACTTTTAAAGTCACCATTGGCCTCATGGTCAAATCCCTGAGCGGTTTCCTTCCTCTCCGGCAACTGAGTTAGGAATGACGCCTGTTTCTTTGTAGTGACTGGGTGTATTGATACACCATCCAAATGATTGACTCAAGACATTTCAGCTTTTCATTTTTTATTAATTTGTAAACATTTCTAAAAACATAATTCCACTTTGGCATTATGGGGTATTGTGTGTAGGCCTGTGACACAAAATTTTAATCCATTTAAAATTCAGGCTGTAAAACAACAAAATTTGGAAAAATTCAAGGAGTGTGAATACTTTCTGAAGGCACACACTAACTAAGCAAAGGAGAGTGATCAACCTGTCTCATAATTTCCTCTTATAAATATACAAACCTCTGCTCTCTCGGCCCACTTTCTAATGTTGTCAGCTCAGTAGGTTACATGTACATCCACCTTCAATGGATCCTTTGTATAAGAGGTATTTTAACGTGAGCAAAAGCCACATTATCTTACTATATTTAACTCTAAGCCATGTTCCACATTCAGGAAATTATTATTACATTTAAGCAGAACTGTCAATTCATTTTTAACAAAACATGAACTGAAAAGATTACAAGGAAAAAGACGTCAGGCTCTTATTTATAGTTAGTTGATTCACAGAAGGAAGCAGTAAAACTTAAAGACCTATCCGTCATTCCAAGAAAATTAGCTGCCACTCTATTTGACCACATTTCTTTACTGAATAAAGTGTTTTTCCCCTTTAGAATAACTGGATATGAGTCAACAGAAACAGCAAAAATGCACTTGTCCAATACATTACGGAAGCCTTACTGATAGAGGAACAATGTTTATTCTGCAGATAAATGTCATAAAATGTAGTCTGACCTGTTGGGAGTATTGTTGTAATTGCATCATTGTTGGTTCATTCATGTTGCTACCAGAGAGAGTCCTGAGTAAACTACAGTGCACAGTAGGTCAACAGTGTAGGTGGAGGTGAGAGACACTAACTAACCTGTATAGATGCTGTTCTGCAGCCCCATACACTGGAGATAGTTGTGGCACCGCTCCTTGTGTTCCTCCAGAGTGCTACGCTGCTTGTAGCTCCGCCCACAGTAAGCACATTTGTGGGGTTTTCCAACTGTACGATCAAATCAAATCAAATCAAACTTTATTGGTCACATGCGCCGAATACAACAGGTGCAGACATTACAGTGAAATGCTTACTTAGATGTGACATTGATACAGCAGTGAGCACTGACAGCAATAAATTGAGAGCAATATTCAAGTGCATGTGGGGGGGGCCATAGTACTGTCCATATTGTGAGTGGTGTATATGTTGTATTTTGAGTAATAATGGAATTATTTTTCATTCTCCAATAGACCCAGTCACATGTTTCCTTGACATGATAAACGTAATGGTTTTATAATAATTGATTTGCAGATGACAGACATATGCTCCTAACTCACCAGAGTGGGTGCGCAGGTGACCGCTGAGGGCGTCTCTCCTGCGACAGGCGTAGTTGCACAGGTGACACTTGAAGGGCTTCTCTCCTGAGTGGAGCTTGATGTGGCGCAGCAGGTTGCCTTTCTGGGTGAAAGAAGCACCACACTGGGTACACTGGAACGGACGCTCTCCTGAGGACAAGACAGCAGGCTGTGAGGGCCATCACACAGGAACAGCTGCCACTCATCTACAGTATGTATCAACACTTTAAATGTAATTGGCAGATTGCAAATTAGTGTTTGGATATTTTTCACTAACAAGCACACTTTTGTAATCTCACAAACACACAACTGGAGTATAGGCATCTGTGAGTTATGTAGATACTATCATGTAGATGTTATCATTAAATAGGAACATCTTCAGCAAAATCTTGTGTTGTGAGCTCAGACACAAAATTACAATAATAGCAGATGAGTATTTTATTTGTAAGAGTAGGCCTATATGAATGGAATTATATACATTTTAGATAAAAGAGGGTTAATGCAAAGTGTTGACAGTGTATGGTGAATGTATGAATGTGCTTTCTCTTTTGTCATCCTGCAGCATGAGATGGACCAATTTGTAGTTTGTATCAGTTCAACCATTGGGAGTTTCTAGTTTGCTTTAAGATACACCAATGTCAGCTCAGCTCAACGAGAACAGCCTCTCCTCAGACAATAATAGGCTAGGTATAAAGCCATTGTCTGAATTTTGCTATGTGGATGCAAGAACTAAAGCATCCCAAATAGTTCCACTGTGGATGTGAATGTGGGGTCACTGTACTACAAGACTCCCAAGCACTAGAACACAGTGGATGATGGAGGAACTCGGCACACAACCCAATCAACCAGCCTAGGAGGGTTTGAGAGCGGAGTGACACTCCATTTCTCCGTGCTCTCCCTGGCCCTGCACCTCGGAGCCGACTACCACTCTGATCGAACAAGAGCCTTTCAGACTCAGGCTGCCAGTTTCGTAATGCACCAGTGCCTGGGTCAATTTGATCTGAAAATCTAATTTTTTTCTCTTCTTCGTCTCTAAAATAAGAGTGGCCCATCACAATGCAAATTCAAGCTAATTTGAATAAAGCGAAGGAAACACTTTGTGTTGAGAGCCAGTCTTCCTGATCAGTGGTTCTGGAATAAACCAATATCCATCCTCTCTGCGTGTTGTGGCATTCTGTGAGAAGGTTTTAATATGGCTTTTTTTTTTCAAAAGGCCCCCATAAAATAAGACTCACCAGTGAAGCAGCAAAACTATAGAAAAAAGGAAGCTCATTAAAAATGCATTTCAGGAGCAGAGACTCACCACAGAATATTTTCTATTTAAATAGGAGGCACTTCATTATATATTTTATTATACATTATTTTGCATTTACATTAGTCTAATGTTCCTTTCTTCCATTTTGGGTTTCATTAGTTTCTAAAGCTTGGCAGTTAAGTGCCTTTTTAAAAAGTGTTCCCCCCTACTGGTTTGGGTGAATTTCAATAGAATATCAATTTTGAATTTTGAAAAAGTTTTTATACTCGGATAATTGCAATTTTGTGGAGATTCCATTTAATTGCCGCTGATATCCTGTTTTTCATCTGTGATATAAGGTCATGTTTAGGGACTATATTCATCTTACTTTTTTAGTCTTATCACACAACAAATAGATCACGAGCCACCTCTCTTGTGATAATTTAAAAGGACACCCAAAAGTCACCCATACAGAATATCTAGATACTACATTTTAGTCATTTAGCAGACACTCTTATCCAGAGCGACTTACAGTTAGTGAATACATTATTTTTTTATACTGGCCCCCCGTGGGAATCGAACCCACAACCCTGGCGTTGCAAACGCCATGCTCTATCAACTGAGCTACATCCCTGCTGGCCATTCCCTCCCCTACCCTGGATGACGCTGGGCCAATTGTGCGCCGCCCATGAGTCTCCCGGTCGCGGCCGGCGGCGACAGAGCCTGGATTCGAACCAGGATCTCTAGTGGCACAGTTAGCACTGCGATGCAGTGCCTTAGACCACTGCGCTACTCAGGAGTGACACATGACATACTTGACTAATACCTCAATATTTTAGTCTAAAACTCCCGTTTACAACATTACATACCAATATATTGACTATAGCACTGTAACTATGGGAAAAGATGCCTCTGAAACCCATTTGACCACTACAAACCAATGAAAGCTCTATATTATCCACATCAACAACTAAATGGAATTGATCTCTTCATGTTAAGCTCGTCCATCATCAATTAACTCCTATTGGTTAAGCAATAACTTTTACAAAACAAGTATTCAACTGCTTCATTCCACCTCACTTACTGAGAAATGACATGGTAACAGTTAGCACCTCCTGGTGCTTATCTTATAGAAGTCAACACAATTGGTGGATACCTAGCACTGTAGCATGATATCCTACTAAGTGGTGCTTTGTTCTCCAATATACAAAAACATACTTATTAGGTGATAAGCATGTAATTAACTTCTGTAAGATAGTGTGAAACCCCAATTACTTGTGTTGTAGCCTATGCTTTGTGGACAACTTTGGAATAAGACATAAGAACACAGACGTACCCTAAGAGTGCTCTGTCTACTGCTCTCAGTGTCTGAAGTAAAGATAAAGATACTGACAGAATCCATCTCAGCTTCTCAACTCCACATACAGATGATCTCTCTGTAAGGCTACCAGTGAGCGTGGGTGCAAAGTAAGGGCGATGGGTATCGCAGATGGCTTACCAGTGTGGCTTCGCTTGTGCACCATCAGCACATTGGGGCCAATGCAAACTGTCCCACAGATATCACACTTGAGCTTCCCGTTGGGCAGGCGGATACCCCCGGCTGAGGAGTAGGGGCCCTTGCTGTCGGGGCCGCCTGCATAGGAGCCGTTCACTTTGGCCCCCGAGGCATCGAGCACGCGCAAGTCTTCCGCACACTCCTCCTCCTCCTCGCCATTCATCATCATGTCAAAGGCGAGCCCATTCTCCTCGTCACTGCGAGCCTCAACTTTAATGTTACAGGCTGGAAAAGAGGGCAGTGGGCCACTGTTTAGAATAGGAGCATGTTTCTGGGGGACTATAGCCTACCTTACTGTGTAGAAATATGAGTACATTACTATATTACTATTTGAGTACATGTACATCTTTGACTTTCCATTGGTCAATATGTGACTATTAGTTTAAGGGCATGTGTCTGTGTCTCCCTCTACTTGAATGGTTGTTTTAGTGCCTCACCTCCAATGAACTTACTGATAGCAATCGTTCATTGCAGAGTGAGAGCATTTAAATCAGCACTTTCTGTGCAGCAATCCTCAATTCAACTTGATTAGCAGAGCACACTAGGACAAAACTTTGAAACAGATTTGGTGAATTTATGCAGTGGGTTCTTGTGATCAGTGTTCCAGATCAAACATAACAGATGGATAATATATATATATATATATATTCGCTAAAAGAGATAGGGAAACTCATACTCCATCTCTCATCATCACACTTCTGTAAAAATGACTGCAAGATAAACAGGAAACAGAGACACAGGAAGCTGTGTGAAACAAGGGACGGCAGCGGTGTAAACCAGACCAACAAACTATGGTAAACAAACACACACACACACACTCGCACACCAAATAAGTAAGGTATAAAAGAAATAACAAAAAAACACAATATCTGAACATAGGTAGCGCTTAAAAAATGTAAATGATAATCCAAAAACGCTTGCATTCAAAATGTAACACAATGAATGTTTGATTTATAGACACAACCCACTGGGCACAGAAGTCAGTTCAATGTCTAGTTTCGATTTACATTTGGTTGAGTTGTCAACTAACGTGAATTCAACGTGAAATCAACAAATAAATTCACCATGTCATTGGATTTAGGTTAAAAGTTAGGTGAAAAAAAGATGAAATGCCCTTACGTTGATAACTTTTTGCAAATTCAATTAGTTTTCCACATTGATTCAACATCATCACATTGATTTTTTTGTTGAAATGACGTGGACACAACGTTGATTAAATCAGTTTTTGCCCATTGGGAACTTGTCAATTTTTTCAATAACTTTGTAACCAGACTATGGCATAGACAATCCATTTGCACAAATATTTTTTGAACCTTAATTTAATCAAAGTTTATCATCTCAATAAGCACAACTATAAAAGGAGCGAATGTAAAGGAAATGTGACGACAGCCGTCTGATTGAGTATTGGAGGGATAGTGTGACGTTTTCCTCAAGTAATTGGAATGTACTTTTAAACACTTAAAACCTTGTAAACCCCTCAACTATTAGCCTGTGATTTGCATGTCATGGTGGCTGATTTCCTCATGTGCCTTCCTTGTTTGTACACCAGAAGAAGTGGAAGAAGTGGAAATAATGAAATATAGGAATCTATAGGGAAAAAGGGGAAGCTTCAGAAACAGGGCCTACCTAACCGAAATACCAATAATTATGGAGAAGTGACAGAAAGGGAAGCTCAGACTAGGAATTGTAAAACAGTGTAACTGAAACAGTCCCTTTGTGGGATGCTTGTTTTCACTGACACTCCCAGGGAACAAGCTCCCATAATGCATGATTCATCCAGTGAGAGCGGAAAGGCAACTCGTGTGAACACAATGACTTTTTGTTGCTCTCACTTCAGTATCAACTGAATACCATCTTGGTGATACTGGATAAAATCAGCATTTGGTATACAGTACCATGCTAACTACTCAAATAATACAATTAAGCGCCACCTTGGTGATAGTGGACACCCCAAAGACCAAATTACGTTAGAATTAGTTATGTTATGCTAACTGATGAAATACTGTAAGTCCAGGGCAGCCTTGTAAAAGAAAAACTGCTCCTCCCTCACCATACAACATTTAGTCTGTAGCCCTAAAACCCCTTGTTTTGTCAGTTTGCCTGTTGTTACTTGTCTTTGCGAGTGGACACATAGACTACTACATGTCTTTCCGCTGAGCAGGCGAGATGAGGAAAACACAAACCACACGCTTATAGAAATCGCACACCCGGCACTAAGGAAGTTAGCTAGATGAAAGCAGAAAGGCACAGATTACTACTGACATAGAGAAAGCACCCAGGGTACTGATAACTTTAAAGAGCATATTATCACAAACCACAGATGCTGAGTTAAGGCCTGCATCTCCCCAAGCATGTTAGGCCTACTTGTCAGCCAGAATCATAGACCTGAGGATTACTGGGTTGTTGGCTACAACATGAATACAACCACTTTCTTTTTAAACGTCTATGTGATTAAAGTCGTGAGAGAAAAAATGTCACTGCCCTCTATGGGTTTGTTGTTCAGTTAATGTACAGAAATGCACAGAACTTGGGCCGTAGCATATATATACAAGACTCCTGAACAGCTAATCAAATGGCTACCCGGACTATTTAAATTTTTTACGCTGCTGCTACTCTCTGTTTATTATCAATGAATAGTCACTTTACCTCTACCTACATGTACATATTACCTCAATTACCTCGACTAACCTGTGCCCCCGCACATTGACTCTGTACCGGTACCCCCTGTATATAGCCTCGTTACTGTTATTTTATTGTTGCTCTTTAAATATTTGTTATTTTTCTATTTTCTTCTTCTTTATTTATTTTTTACTTCAGTTTATTTTAGTAAATACTTTCTTAACACATATTTTTCTTAAAACTGCATTGTTGGTTAAGGGCTTGTAAGTAAGCATTTCACTGTAAGGTCTACACCTGTTGTATTCGGCGCACGTGACAAATACAATTTGATTTGATTTGATTTGGGGGCTCGTCCAAGATTTCACTTACAGAAAGTGCTCTTGTTGCAGTGGTGTTACCCTTTAGAATCTCACTGAGATTTTCTGTTGCCTTTTGATTCTATATCATTCATAGTAGAATATGTATTGTTCATTTGACTTAAATGTCTGGTGTTGACATTGAGAGGCGGATCTACTGATTCACTGTTGTTGTTTTATTGCTCTATCTCTTTGTTTGTTCTTTCCTGTTAGATTTTACACTTGCTTCCCAAAACTAGTAAATCAGGATGTGTGGCAAGCATGACATAAAGTAAAAGCCCTTCTTCCCATCCCCAAGTTAGTCACAACTTCCCCATTTATCCCTGAGAAGCTGCAGCACCAGCAGCAGTAGTCCGGTTGACCTTGCCGATGTCAATGCTGTCTACCTCAGCTATGAGCCTGTGGGTTTGAGAGGGGCCAGAACGACAACATGAGGGTTGGTGTAGACCACTGAAGCTCAAGTATCTTTCCAGAGACCTTCCGTGACAAAACCCTAGGCTTATTTACTTTGCTTATAAGTCAAATAACTAAACACATTATTTTCAACAGTGTAGGCTACCGTATACTTAGTTACAGCTCCAGTGTCATTGATTTGATTCACTGGTACAAAAGAGACTACATTTCTAAATTCACAAGCTACTCAAACTATCAAAAGAATAGGAAACACGGGTAACTGATAACAAGCCATTGATGATGGCTCAGTTATGTAGTGTGGAAGTAAAAAGAGCCTGTTGAAGGTTCCTGCAACAGAGCTGCTTTTCTCACTGCCTGAGGAAAATAGCCCAGTGTGTGCTAACTCTGCTGTGGAACCAACCACATGCGTGTAAAACCACATAGATGCCATACTGAACACAATTCCTTTTGGTGTTTCAGTGTCGATAAGGGGCACCAAAAACAAAGCGTACTTTTCCCCACTCTTTTGAAACTCTAGCCTTGCATTTTTGGGAAATAGACAGGATTGTAGTGAAGACTGAATAACCCTAATGATTCATACATACTGAAAGATAAATTGTGTCACCAGAAAGGCATACCGTGACATGTAATTTTACTGTCTGTGTGACTGTAATGACCAAAAATATTTTGATACAATTGAATTCAATAAGGCAACCTTTTGTGACAATGTGTCTTGTCCTCCCAACACAAGGGAAATCCTTTTTGGGCTTGTTGAATTGTATAGTGAAGTCTGTGTGGGATGAACCTAGAGAAGCTGTGTAGGACAATATGTTAGCATTGGAAAGTGAATGGAAAACTGCAAAAAACAACCTGGCTTTGAGGTCTTGAGCTTCCATCATACCTGCAGCCTCCTTGTCTCAGTTACACAGTCCTGCTTGTGTCCTGCACTTCAGGCCAATATCCTTTGAACCACATGATCCTAACAGATAATAATAACTCCTTGATGCATTTGGGGTTTATCGGAGAGCCAGCGATGCACTGCATAGATACAGTATAACAGTCACTTCCTCTCACACTCTCACACCCTCACACTGGTGATTAGATCTTCAGTGAGTGCAGAGCAACACAAACACTTACACTCACCAACGCCCAAAGACAAACACGTGCAAACAAACACATGCATACAAACACACACACACTGTTGTCTTTGTTTATGCCGACCTCTTTTCTGATTCAGGACCTCTTCCTGTATTTCAAAATAATATAAGACCAGAAAAAGAGATTAGGAATCATACAACACATCCTTAAAAAACGAACTCGCCAAAGAAGACACTATAAAACATTTATCTCTGATGCTCTGCTCTCATTGTATGTGAATTTACAAAAACATGTTGAAAGTACTATGGAATAATGTCTGTAAATCCAGCAAGTGAAATGACTAATCATACGCTCAGCCACAAAGACAGTCATATGGAGAAAGACATGCCTGACTGGACTGAACCACAGCAGCATATGCCTGTGTTTCCTATGGCCTCCTCTTCCAGCTCTAGCTCAACTGCAAACTTGCACAAAGCCCAAAAAATGAGCATTTATGATAAACAAAATAAGTATAGGTCAGCCCATGTAATGCTTCAGAAAGTCAATCAATTGGCGGCTCATGGATAAACCTTAGAACTGCAGCTGCTGGAGGTGAAAGCCTCAAAATATCTCATGATGATTTCTCTTCAATGCTGATAGACGTTTTCACATTGACTGAGTGACTTTTGATCAAGATAAATGTGTACTTCATGGTTAGTAGGGCAGTTACAATAAATTCCTGGTACATGACAATGGGTATCCTTGTCGTAAACTATGGCATGCTGGCGAGGGTTGGAGTTCCTTATGTGTGCTGCTGAGTTAAAAGCTTGACAGTTGAAGTGAAAGCGTCAGTGTGTTTGCAGGTGGCTGGCTGTGTGGTGGTGCGATGCACTGGTGATGTGCAATGCTGATCTCCGAGCTTGACTCTGCTCCTGAAAACTTTATCTCCTGGAGTGTTGAAACTGCCTGATGGCAAGTTTTTCTTAGGAAACTCTTGCACATCTTATTTCAGTTTCCTCTGCTCTGACATGTTGTTTCTGACTCGAAGTACAAGGGTAAACTACACCACACAGCTATCTGGAGCTAATATGGAAGGACAATCCAGTTTTACACCCAAAATTATAGTAACACTTATTGTGTATTGTAGTTATCACAATGGATCACTAACACATCCCATAAACCTACCATAGATATTGGTTGCATGAGCTACTGTATTATTACGTATACAATATGACATGGCTAACCTTACACACAGGTAGTGCAGCACTAGGGGGGAGGGGTTCACAGATGTTCTCATGAAGCAAGCATTTGAATTCCAAAACTTCATCTGGTAAATGCTGCCCGGTGTCCCCTGACATCCCAGTCATGTCCCGAGTTTCAATGAACTTGTACATCAGCTAATGGTATTCCCTGGCTTCATTTAGTTACATCCACATATCAAGGCCACATTAGCCATTCCTTAAGGTTTTGCACATCATGTGATGGATCAGAGAAATGTCCAAACTTTCCTGCCAATGACCTAAATGCATCAAGATTACATGTTCAAAAGAACTAAGATTGATTAAGCGCTAGATTGCAAGTAATAAGTGGATTTAAGGGATTTTTTTGATGTGGTAACTACTGCTTGGGATGCCGTTACAAACTTGCTATTTTACTAACACAAAATAGTTAAGTTACTGACACATTTGTTTTTATGATATGTAATTTTGGTTTATTTTAATGTAAAAAAAATAAGGGGGTGGAAATTTTGCTGTTCTATCTAGTGCAGGCAGGTGTAACAAGAATGTATTATTATAAATGTATTCATCATATGACATTTATTAATATATTATGATAACTGATGTTTTTAAATCATCATTCTTTTCATTATAAGTAGTATGAACAATACTACTACTTTTGTCCTTGTGAGGGTATACATATTTCTGAAGGTGCTCTGGAAACTGTTTTGGGGCACACAGGTGAAAGTTTGATGGCTATACTGGTCTGGGTGTTATAACTGGTTATAGGCCCACTGATGTGGGAGTGGTACATTGAAACATGTGGCACAGACTTATATGAGCTGTCACTCACCCATGCCTCCTTTGTCACCCCTGTTGTTGTGTTGCAGATTGGAGCTGGCAGACAGGTCCTCTGGGACGGGCATGGCCTCGTCGTTGTCCTCAGACACATCATTGGGAGGGGGGCTGTCCCTGCCTGCATGGGTAAGCACCAGCAAACACCCATTAGTCACCAGAACATGGTTCATTATTGCTCATATGATAGAACCATAATCATCTATAATCCATCATATGTGCTGTGACTGTGCCAGTCAGCTTGGGCTCTGTGCAACTCACACTCTGAGGTCTGAAAACAGAGGCTCTTACCTGGCATCTGAGACATCTCCTGAGCCTCCTCCGTCTCCATTCGGTGCAGGTACTCTAATGGGATAGAGAGAGACGGAGATGTAGATGTGTTTAAATTTGATCAACGGCACAGCAGGGCTGAAAAAACACAACATTATAAAAAGCCACAACTGACTAAAGGCATGACCTCGCTGTGTACACCTCTGTCACGCCGGCAATGTCCCTTTTGTCACACCGAAAGACACACCACTGTCCCCCACATTACATTACAAAGAATTACAGACATTTTCATTACATGTCTGACAGAGAGGACGGGCTGGGAGAGTGGCTTGGCCTTGCGTGATGGGCTATGGTGATGAGGGGTGCTGGGAAGGGGCTTTCAGACCACATTTGTTATTTATTGTTAATTTCCTGCAACCTAATCATCCAAAAATGCAAACTGACTGCCGCAAAATTAAGCCGAAAATTAAGTGGCCCTAGGTCACTGAGGATATGGCTGTTTGCCGTGCCCAGCTGATCTGCGCTCATGTTCACTCTAATTTACTGAGCATGCATCGCTGAGCGCGCCACTACCCGAGCACAGACGTGTGCGAGAGGCGCCACAATCAGAAACAAAGAGAGAGGAGAGAGAGAAAGATAATAAAGAGAGGGACCCAGAGAGAGTGATAGAGAGAGAGGGGGAGATACAGAGATAGGGAGGGGAGGGAACCAAGACAGACAGGGAGTGTGTCAGAGAGCGAAAGTAAAGAGAGAGAACCAGCGACAGAGAGATAGATAGAGGAAGGAGAAGGCCAAGGGGCACCGAAGTAAGTTTCTCTCGCACAAGAGGAGGCAATTTAGTGAAGAAGAGCACATCCCCTGGCCAGGGCCTGCTGCATATCTGAGGAGTCACCAGTGTGCGTGGCCCCATTAATAATGCATCCCCCTCAAGCCTGCAGCAGATGGGCACAACAGCCTCAGCCTCAGCTCCGCCACTTCAAGAAGGCCCTTGGTGGAGCCGCTTTCCCAGCCCAGCCAGCCACACAGGGAGAAGTGAAGCTCCCTAAAATAGCGAAGCGAGCCCGAGGGAGAAGGGGAACCTAGGCCTTCCTGTTTTACTGACAGATGGCTCCACACATTTGGAACAAATAGTGGGAAGCCACCAAGCAGCCCCCGCTGCTGTCGCAACACACAATGTTCAGCGGACATGCGAGTCAAGTCAGAGACTCAACAACCCACGAACACCCAGGACCCAAGTGCAGAAGATGCGGCGCTGCGAGCACAGTGGGTGTTGCATGCTAGTGTGTCGATACAGGACTAGGAGGCCCTGCCTGCGACATCATTCTTTAGCATCTGGAGTTTGGAGGTCGGGGGGGGGGGGGGGGGGGGGGGGGGGGTGGTATTCACATGTGCCCTTTTTTCTTTTTTCTGGGCGGATGGTGCGAAGGGAAATACTGATCATGTTGGTGGGGGACTTTGACAGAAGTGAGAAATGCATTCCCATGTTCCACCACAATACAATTGTGTAGGCATTCAGGAAGTTGTATATTCACCCGAAGTAACATTGTTATTACTTTTAGTTACTAACTACCTGATGCAATCTTACATTTGTTTTTTTGTTTTTTTATCATAGTTTTGTTTCCTGGTTCATTTTAAGCCACATGCGTTTGTGACAAAACCCAATTAGTTGGATATCTTAATGCTATGTCATGTTGTAGTTTATTTCTTGTTGACTATTCTCAATATATTTTGTGTTTTGTGGATGGTTTCATTCAGACAATATTTCAGAATGACACCACTTTGGTCAAATATGACAAAACAAGGCACTAAGGGCAACAGCCGCTTTCTGAAAGTGCCTCACAAAGGGCAGGAAGAGTCATGGCAGTGGGTCTGAGTGCGCTCAGTAAGGGGTAGAGTGACAGGAAGAGGGCTGTGGGTTCACAACGCCCCCAGTCCTAACTAAACTAAAGGGAGTGTGTGTGTGTGTGTGTGTGCGCGTGTGTGTGTGTGTGTGTGCGTGTGTGTGTGTGTGTGTGTGTGCGTGTGTGTGTGTGTGTGTGTGTGTGTGTGTGTGTGTGTGTGTGTGTGTGTGTGTGTGGGGTGGATGGCAGGTGGGGCGAAGGGGCTGTGCAGAGCAGGGTGCGAACACACGACAGGGAGCAGGGTGGAGACTGAAACAGTCAAACCGTTAAACAGCCAAAGTGTACAACACCAGCAAACTTTGGATACTGGGAGGGAGTAAAAACTGACAGACAGGATTTTATAATGTAAACTATCATTTGGCAACACATATTTATCCTTAAATGTCAGGAATATCAACATAAAACATGTGCAAATAATATGGGGCCTATATGAATGAATAAATCAGTCGTATTAAAATCTATACAATCTGAGGGGTGATATAGAACATTAGGCTAAGTTTTTAATAACTTTTTTAAAGAAAAGTCAAACAAGAATGATATCATATCAGGTATTATTATTGAAATGTTTTTGTTCTCAAACTATTATAAGTATATGCTGCTTCTGTGAGAAGAGTGATTCAAGACTGTACTTGAAAGTCCTACTTTGTTTCTCCAGAAAATTCCTTTTGACATGGCATACAAAATATAATATATTTTGATACTGAGATGTAAAAAATAATACTACTTTTTGTGTATTGAGACCCACCTCATCCATTCCAGTGTTAAACAAAACAATATTTGTGCCACAACTCCCTCATGCCTTAGCAGCGACCCACCTGTGGGTCCCAAACCACCATTTGGGGAACCATGCCCTACTACATTACACCACGTAATATAATGAACAGTCAAAACAGTCATCTTTTTCATTTTTTATCATCTGAAAATTATAGAGAGAATACTCATTAGCAATTAATGAAATGTGCAGTCATAAATTGAAAGATGATAATCTTACTGAGCTAATGTTTTAGCACCTATTGTGGGTTAGAGGGGCTACAGTATAGGAGCATTGAAAGGAGTTTCCTTATGGTCTTTATTTGCATTTGACACACTTCATTACACTGGTATTCAGTGAGAATCATTTTAATAACAGCCTTTCTTTCTCTGTCCCCTTCCTCAGTATGCTAACAATAAGGATGCTGATGAATCCACAAACACGTATTTGCAGCATTTCAACCCTCCTCAATCAGAAGAAGCAGATAAATCAAATGTAATTGTGCTATGGGGTGGGGTGCAATTCATTGCTTCGTTTACTAATAGTCATTTAAATATATCATATTTTTTTTCTTGAGGGTGAGTACATTTGTACAGGCTGCTGTGTTTTTAATTTTGGATTCGTTTTCAATATAAACTTTTCATGAAAAAAAAAAATGCAGCACATTCCTGCCTAATAATGCTATCACCCAAGTTTTCACATTATTATCTCATCTTTTCAGTAGGACAGAAACCTTTGAGGTGGCAGTGGTTTGCTTGAAATGAGAAAAATATACCTTAGGCCTGCTATCAAACTGAAATGCAAGTGTTTGGCTGCCCTAAAAAAGTGAGAAGCCTAATCTTGTTTAATGTTAATACAGTTAATACAGAATGTCAACACAGTAACTACGAATTTAGTCAAACATCTTTGATCTGTTCTAATGGCCAGGTATGTTATCTGATGAATGTGGTATATAGTTTCCTGACACAAGAACAAGCCAGATGATTAGAATATATCATGGAGTATCAGAAATTGCTGTCTGTCTAGACAGAAAAAGAATTTGAAGTCAGATTTTACGGTAAAAAAAAGTACGTAGTTACTGCGTTTTGTCTTTGTAGGGCAGTTTTTACTGTCAACAAAATGGAAATAATATTGTCAACAGCAAATTAAATCAAGTTAAAACAAGATCAACATTGCTTTTGAAGTTTTGTGAGGACAATCTAGACAATGCAGTAATGAAAATATGATATACCTTATTACTCCATATTAACCAAATTAATTAGCCGACTTGAGTAGGATTTTTCATTGTTTATGGTTATAGTTCCTCATTACAAGAATAAAATAGCCTCCGTGTTGAAGCTTGTAAAATGTTGTCCCAGCGCACAAAGGTGTGAGGAAAGTACTTTGAGTTGTTTCCACATTATTTCTCTCAAAATGAATCTTCTGTGGTGTTCTTGTTGAATGTCAGTTTCACAACATGTTAACAGTAGGCTATACTTGAGCCCTGCCCACCAATACTATCAACACACATGTCAGGTTCGGATCAGACCAACCAATAATTGAGACCGTCTTGGGCATTTTGAAAAGGGATTTTGAAGTGTGTGTGTCTTTTTCATGTAACTTTGAAAAGGGCAGAGAAACAGATTACGTTTTTCATACTGTGGGAAACGTAGTTATAGCCTAGGCTAAAGCTAATTATTGCGCTTTTATTGAGGACTGTTTAGATCAAGTTTATACGTGTTATTTCAATTTACTTGGTTTCATTTGTAATAATGGAAAGTGGACTTCTGAAATAAGAACTCCAGCTTGAATGACATGAATTAAAATGGTTTGTAGACTTCTGGATGCGCACAGTTGCAACAGGTGGCAATCTGGCACGAAAAGTGAAACCAGTCTATGGAAAACTTTGAAACCAAGGAAATGTCTGTTTTTGTTTTTATGTTTAGCCTAATTCTAATAGGCTTAATTGTCAATGACAAGACATATAGCCTACTGTTTCGATATGGTTCAGATAATTGTGAGCAATTCCTGTAATCTCCTAAAAATGAGTTTGGGAAAGGAGGAAAATATTCCATTATTCCATTATTTTAGAAAAGAAAATACATTCGATATTAATTATAATGCACATAAAAATTGTATAACATTCATGAAACATTAACATTTTCCTTGATTAGTCAAATCCGTTACATGCACATCTATAAAAATACCCGCGTCACAGGATTTCAGACGCTCACGCACCTGCACCAGACTTCAGGACAATGTTTTCCAATCTGTTAGGTAGTTCATTTTAAAAGAGTAACGATCTTTCATTTCTTACTATTTAGAAATACGAATAAACACTTTAAATTAGTTTTAAGTTAACAAGCATCGTGAAAGTTACTATACCTGCTATTCCTTGAGTTTGCAATATGAAGTTCTTCCAACTCTCCCCCGCTCCATGTGCAGAAGTTCGAAGTGCCGCGGCAGCCCCATGGAACTCTGCCCTCGGTCCCTCCCCTCTCCACTGTACTTCCTCTTTCCAGCTTAACATTTCTATATTTCTGTGCTCGACTGAGGCATTTTGCTTGCTTTTATCCAGAGGCCGAGTCTGCTCGGGGAGTCGGTGCAACAGTCCTTGGCACTTGCTTTGTATCGTGCCAATAAAAGCTGACACCCAGTAGACCATTACTGGCAGCCATGCATGAGATGGGATGAGGCGCACCAGGCTGGGCGCACAGGAGACTGGACGATTCATTGTTTATTTATTTATTTCGTAGAAAAGGATGGGGACTCCTCACTTGCATGGGCAGCTCCCCTTCAGTCACCTGTTCTGGCATGCTGTAATAGTCACAGTGCAATTAAAATAACAAACTGTGTTGGTTTCAGATTATATTTGAACAAATATTGTGACAGTTTACATTGATAACAACCAACAATCATTGTAGAAAGTTGCATCCTTCCTTTTGCTTATGTATCAACAAATTCATAAAGTCTCATATACTTCCCTATTCTTTTATACTATTTGAACACGTATTTCATTATTTCAATAATGAATAATTTAATGACATGTCGGGAATGTAGGCTAATAGACATATAGGCCTGTGTGCCTAAAAAGGATATCACCCAAGTTTTCACATTGTTCACATATTTTAAGTAGGACAGATAGCTTTGAGGTGGCAGTAGTTTGCCTGAAAGAGAGAAAAGGAGATCTGCCTAGATCAGGTGATGACTTTGAGGATAATGATCTGGTCTAGAAGTGTCATTTGACATGATTTATTCCAAGCAGCACTGCCATTGGAATAATGAAAAGAAAAGTAACAAGTGTGAAAACACCTAATTACAATTTAAACAGACTCTTAAAGACAAGTATCCCATTGACTCAATGATCCTGTGTCTTTGGTACTGTCTATGTGCTGATTTTGTATCACCTGTAAATCAGCTGCATCCTTGTTTAGGAATACCTCAGCAGAGTTCAAAAGGCGTGGCTGGAACAGGTTAAAAATGGCAGACAGAAACCAGGACAGAAACAAGGAAGGAGAGAAGAAGAAAGAGAGTATCTTTGACCTGTCAAAGTACATTGATAAACAAATCTGTGTGAAGTTTCAGGGAGGACGAGAGGCCAGTGGAGTTCTGAAGGGGTTTGACCCCCTGTTGAACCTGGTATTGGATAGCACCATCGAGTACTTGCGGGATCCTGACGACCAGTTCAAGCTGACCGAGGACACGCGGCAGCTGGGCCTGGTGGTTTGTAGAGGGACGTCCGTGGTGCTCATCTGTCCTCAGGACGGCATGGAAGCCATCCCCAACCCCTTCATCCAGCAGCAGGACGGATAGTCGGCCAGCCTCGTTCTCTAGGATGACCTCACAGTAGTCCAATTCCTGGTGTGTATGTCAATTGTATTTCCTTGATTCCTTGCATTCTCTACTTGCCTCCTTCTCAAAATGCATTGGAGGAGAAGATCAGAGGAGAGGAACCTAAGATCTACTCCAATGTGCTTTGAGAAGGAGGGAGGATGTGAGGATTCAATTAAATATTATTGCGGTTAGTATGAAAAATATATGTATATACAAAAACAAAAACAAATGGATGCACTCACTAACTGTAAGTCGCTCTGGATAAGAGCGTCTGCTAAATGACTAAAATGTAAATGAAAATGTAATGTCCCTCCATAGGCAGACTGTGCACAAGGGTGAATGGATTCTTGAAGTACTGCTTTCTCTTCACCAAACCCCCAACATTTTTACTCATGTCACTGCTATATCATTGCATTTTTTTGTCTAGTGCATTGAAGTTCTGACAACATAGTATAAACATTTCAGCCAACATAGTTTAGGGCCCATTAACTTTTCTTATTTTTCTCAGAATTCATAGTAGTTTGTCCAATGCATATTTAAAAAATGAACATGTTCAGAACATTGGTCTGTTACAGTATTGCATGCACAAATAGGATATTGCCTCAAATTATTCAAAGCAAAATAATTTGTGGATTAATATTAATAGAAATTGTCAATGAATAATGAGTAATATACCTCTTATTTTACTCACACAAGTGGGCACATTTCTCTGCCATGTTTTGTCATTATAATACCTTAAATTCAGTTTTGGGTACAGTGAATCTTCGCTGCATGTATGCTATGAGAAAAGTGACAGTTGTTCCCCATTATCCCATTATTCTCGAACCTTTCTGAGCGGTATTATCTGTGGAGATGCAGCGTGTTCTGGATAGCTGAGTCACCTACAGTGGAAGGCAGCCCTTATCTGCAAAGTAGCACAACATTCACAGGCAGTTGGTCTGGTCATGGTGCAAAAGAGGAACTTTTCTCAGGAGTGTGTTTTTGGTCTGTTGTTTCCACATGGCAGTACGGATTACAACAGTCTCCAAAGAGTTATCTTGATCCAGCCTCTATAAAGGTGAAGTACCTTTAGCTTCAGTACATGTGAATTAAGGAACTTACTGTGAGTGGGAAGCCAATATAAATAGTTGTGTCATGGCGGCGTTAGGGTGTTAAGGGCCCCCGTAGCCCAACTCCTGACCTGAGGCTAGACAGAGGGAATCCTGGAGCAGAGGCGTGACTCAGCACAACGCACGCTCCAATCATGACCAGCAGAGGAGCATGGTCTTCCCAGCCGTAGAGATACCACCCTATCCCAGTGACACAGCAGATCTTCTCACTCAACATGTGTGGGGCTACATCAGGACACAAGGACACAGTCTAGTTTAAAGAGAGGTTGAATCCAACAGTACTTATGTTTCTCTCACAATGTTTGCAGGTGGCACAGTTTTATTTTAGCACCATTATTTTGAAACTTTCAGTAACATTAATAAAACCAACAGGTATAATGCATTATTATGGGGTTATAATGCATTGTAAGACTTTTAATAATCATGGGTATTTTTTTAAATATATTGATCCCAACTGGATAAAAGCCCTTTTCAGTCAGTTAAAAATGTCGTACACCATATGATTTTTTCTTGCGCTGATGGTCAGGGGCCTGGAACATAATTACAAAAAATGTTTAGACTACAAATTGACCGCAAGAAGCCCAAACAGATATAATATTTTACTAAAACATGATAATTTCAAACCTTGCTTGCATCTGTATATGATCACATATACCATATCTTTCTATTATTTATAGGAATACTTTGGAACAGATTTACAAATTAAAATCACTTGGAGCTGATTTGTTGGTGTTTTTACAGTCTTTTATGTACAACGATGTAAAAAAAATACATATATATTAGTTTTTTGCTCAGAAAACCCTGATTTATAGCAATGTTTTATTTCACACAGTGGCTTTCATTAACATACATGATCATCATATAGACCAGACAACATACACCAAACACAATCCTACACTGCTTTAGGTTCTTCAACATTTTGTAAAGCATTTTGCTGTAATTAAATATCGTTACCTGGATTGCCTCATAATAACAGCATCACTATGTAGCCAATAGACTAATGAACAAAAGATTCAGCCTGTTTCTTATTTCATGGATCTTTAATCAGTATTCACAGCTTAGAATCTGGAAGCACAAACAGCTGTAGCCCTTAATTGGTTTCAACACCTTAATAAGTCAAATACGTTCAAGACCAGTAATCACATTAAATAGTCAAATGTATCTAAAAAGTCAATTGGAAAGTGAAAATCAATTAAATTCCCCTCTGCACACTAAAGCATCACTTTCCTTATGGTAATTATCTGCTGGAATGGATGTGTCACTAGAAGGAGTCAGGCATGCTTGACATTTAGCCTCTGTATGGAGAAGACAGAAAATTAACATGAGGGAGAGAAATGAATCTCCTGGCTAGGCAGGCATTGAGGAGATCCTGAAGGATAGTGGGTGATTCAGTCATTGTGTTTGTAACCCTGTTTTGAAAAGGGGACCAATAATGAGATTCAGTCCATTGGCAACCTTGTGGGAAAGGAAGGGTGTTTTTATAGCTAAAGCACAAATATCAATACGCTCCTTGGCAATGAAGAGGTATGATGATAATAACATTTTATTTTATCCATTTTGGGGGGCATTTCTTATCTCAGTAAACAATGTGCACAACCTCTCAAGCATGCCTGGGTATATGAAGCGTTAGGAAAGTTGTATTGTCTGCTGCTAAACTGCTACTCTGGCGATTGGTAACAAACTGCACAGTAAAAAACTGGGGATGAAAACAGAGTCTAAACTGATTTAGACTTTTAATCTAAAAACTTTACATTTCTAGGTGTGAAATTGTGATTGTCAAGCAGTTCTATCAAATACAAGTAAGACAGACTGATACTTGTGACATTGAGCTATGTTGATTAGTCAAAGACGCCTGGTCCCAGGTCTGTTTGTGACCAGACAAACAGATGTGTGACCAGGCTAGTCAGAGACTGGTTCCCTCAGTCAAAGACAGGAACAGAGCAGAACCCTGCAGATGAACGGTGGTTAGCACATGCCAATTACTGAATGTCCAGCAGAGAGGTCCACACCCAGAGTGGCACAGCTATTAACTGATATCAAGCACAGAAGACTGCAGAGAGGAAGACTTTTGCTTTCACTGTCTCAGTAATCTCTGGTGGACAGACTATGTAAACATTCTGGTACCTTAATCTACCATCTGACCAAATTCCGCAAGATTTTAGTTCTGGGTTAACCAAGATTACTGTCTCAGTAACAAGTATCCATGAGGGTGAATGGGGAACGTTGAATGAAAAGTCTGTACAGAAAAAAAGGTGTTTGAGGCTGGTCAAGCGGTTAAAGCCCCACCAGTCTTCACACTGAGATACATAGTCTACCTCAGTGTGAGTATGATACAGACCAGTGTTTCCGAACCCTGGTCCTCGAGTACCCCCAACAGTACACATTTTTATTGTAACCCTGGACAAGCACACCTGATTCAACTTGTTAACTAATCATCAAGCCCTCAATGAGTTGAATGAAGGGTGTTTGTCAAGGGCTACAACAAAACTGTGTACTGTTGGGAGTACTCAAGGACCAGGGTTGAGAAACACTGAAATAAACTATCTCAGTAAGAATGAAAGTCTTTCTTGGTTGAGGGTTGAGGAGAAATTCATTACTTCCCCTGTAATATTTTTTAGAAAATTCCTAACCACTTGTATAATCTATTAGCATACACTTCAAACAGACATACCCCACTAGAGATGTCACTATGGGTTTTGTCACGGTACCCAAACCCAAAACTGATTGAATGTGTTGCTCAGTAATGTATAGAGCCATGACATCATGGATTGCTCGGCCACCAGAGGTTACT